GACATCAAAGTATTTGCTGTTAGTTCAGGCAAACACAAAAATTCCCAAAATTATACTAATACTCCAGTCATAAGCAAAACTAGTATTTTGGTTAAAAAGAATAACATCCAGTGCCCTCGTACGACTCCTCAAGTATAAACTCGAATGACTATAGTGTATCGGTGATATTAATCCGAAATAAGATGATGATTTCATTGTACAGAAAAACTTTGATATTGATGAAACTTTAAACTACCGGTTAACAAATTAATGTCTGATTAAGTTACAGTTTATCTTCTGACATTAACTGAATACTTAATTTCCTTTGTATTTATGTTATGCTTGATTTGTTTCTTTTAAAGTGAACACATAAATAGTAATTCATAATTCATTGCATTGATTACTACGTTAAGTAATAATACTCTGAAAAAAAGGAGATATGTCTGGTCATTAGTAAGTTGGAACTGATTAATGAACGTGAATCGATCTTTGCGTGTAACTCCAATTTGAATATATTATTTCCATAATTTAATTCTATCTGTTAGTTAGATCAATTGATTTATTGATTTCGTAAATTATGTACTTGAATGAAATTCTTGAGTAATTGAATCCCAATTAATTCAAATTTACCTGTTAACTGGATATGTAGTGGCTGTGCTTCGTTGACTAATCACCCTGGTAACCGTTATCATGTAATCGTCAACGCTGTTTGAAATCAGAAGGCAAAGAGAAGCAGCGACTAGAGTTTTATTAGCAGATAACTCAGACCACAAAGCCGTGAAGAGAATGAGTGAGTCAGCGAACCGATAATGTAGTGTTGAATGTACATATATATATATATATATATATATATATATATATATATATATATATATATATATATATATAAATTCCTTGTTTACAAATGTACCCTTGAAAAAAACCATTGATATATTATGTGATTACATATCTGTAAACAATTTTCAATCACGTGTACCTGTAAAACTTCTGAAAGATTTACTATTATTATGTACTGACAAAGTTCAGTTCACTATTGAAGGTGAATACTTTCGTCAGATTGATGGAGTTGTTATGGATAGTCCGCTAGGACCATTATTAGCAGATGTGTTCATGGCACATTTTGAAAATCAGACTGATGACCTAATCGGAAATATGTCACTTTATAAGAGATATGTGGACGATATCTTAGTTGTTTGTGAGAGAAAAGAGGATATGTACCGTTTAGTAAATAAACTTAACACTCTCCATGTGAAGAGGAGAAAAACGATCAGCTTCCCTTCCTAAATATACTTCTGAGTAGACGAGATGGCTCAGCCAAGCGATCTATTTTTAGAAAACCAACGTGGACAGGTCAATATCTTAGTCATTATAGTTACTGCCCTGTGCAATACAAACGTTGTTTGATAAGGTGTCTTTTCAACAGACTCGACCGTATTTGTACCAATGACGCCATTGATGATAATGTTAAGTTGTTGAATGAAACGTTAATAGAAAATGGTTATCTTCTGAAATTTATAAATAGATGGAAAGTCCATGGTACAGCGAGACCTACTGTAGCCTCGGTAGAGAAAAAGCCTGTCAACATCACCTTACCATTCAGAGGTGATTGAAATAGCTTTTTATTGAAACGACTTAAATCAGTTATCAATAAAACCTATTGCGCAGCAAAGGTCATCATCAAAGAAAGAACAAGGTGCATGCTTCATTCAAAACCTAAAATACATGGAAACGATTGCGTCACATCCCACTGTGTTTACCAATTTAAATGTGTGTGTGGTCACACATACATAGGGAGGAGTAATCGTGATCTCAACATTAGGGTGAGTGAACATGTACCCAATTGGCTTCAGAAGCAAATACAATCAAGTGACCCAATAAGAGCAGTGGATAAACATCCATCATCCTCTATTGCTAAACATATAATTGAAACAGGTCACAAGATTGATCTAAATTCAGCTTTTGTAGTGTTGTATAAAAGTGTAAAAGGGCGTATACTAAGGTTTATTAAAGCCTTAGCCATACAAAATTCAAACCCCCTTTGTGTGTTCGAAAACAGTTTGTTCTTACCTTAAACCTACCCTGGTAATATTGAGTTATTATCCAGAGTGATTAGGTTTCGCTTTGTGTTCACATTATTATTATTATTACTCTTATCATTATCCTTATCTCCTCTTACCCCATTTCCAGTCTATTTGACCTTTTATTTTTTATATATAAATGTTCTTAACAAGTATATGTGTGATCAGATTGTTCGAAATGTATTGCGCTAATATATCACACATAGTTCTGATAATCTTCGTCTTCTAATACCATTATCGCAACTATTGAGTATCATAATTTTAAAGAAAAATACTGATACTTTTGAGATCAATTTTGAAATGATCTTTTAATAAAATATCCATTATATTAAATGCTTTAGAAATAATTAAAAAAGATTTGGCAAGTGACCAGGAAAAAAAGACTTCAAGTTCTCTTCTATGTAGATTGGTATCTGACTTTCAACAAAAAACCACTTATACATTAAAATTATCTAATCAATTTAAAGGTAATATTAATTGTCATTTGGTGAATGTTATTACTATTATTGATTAAACGTGTAAAAAAAACCCAATGGATAATGAATATTGATTATATTCTATACCAATCTTACAGCCGTATGCGACCAGAGCTTTACTTATGATTAACTTTAGCTATACCTACTTATAAGTAGTCTGGAATGATTTCACAGACTAACATTTTTCATAGTATTATTTATTTAAATGAATTTTAACAATCTATTTAGTTTAAAGATTGACCTCGTTCATAAATTTAAATATCAGAATGTCTATTTTATAATTCAAAAAATGGTGGTGAAATACTTCCCCTATCTACAGATCATGTTACCATGGAGTTATGGACCTTATTATTTGTAATAATAGGAATCATATAGCACAGTTAACTTACTAGTCCAATAAAACACATACGAACATCAAGTTGACTATAAAGTATGAATATAATCGCCAACTACACTGTTTGGATTTGAACACCTGAACAATAAAACAACTGAGAAGACCTTATTTAGTAGGCAAACGTGAGTGGGACAATATTTAAATCATAATAGTTGTTGTATTGTAAGTTACCGACGTTACCTATTCAAAACCCTATTTTCAGAATGGAGTTGTGGGGATCAGTAAATTTCATCTAAAACATAAACTAATGTAAGTTATACAACTATGGAAAACCTAATAGCACTAGACGACTGCTTCTTTATTGTATAAGACTCCTCAATAGTGAGTACCTACGGCTCAACACTCTGAAATCGAATCGAGGACCTTCGGTCTTGCGCCTCTAACCCATAGACCACTGCGCTGTGCCCGCATGTGAAATCGAAGTTGTTGGGTTCAGCTCCTGGGTGCGGGATCATGGATGTATATTGCTGAGGAGCCCCATACTAGGGCGAAAGTGCCGTCCAGCCCATCCAAGTTTCTAATGGTTGTCTAATTTAGATCAGTTCATGATTCCAACGAATACCCCAATGAACAGGGTTTGAGGATTTTGTTTTGTAGATAAAATTCATGAAGAAATATCATACATCTTATAAAATGTGGATATCCATGGAAAATAATATTTTTGGAAAGTCCTAAATGAACAACTGTTGGCGATAAACCATTATTTGTCCATCTTGCATTCACATGTGAGGAGATTTCAGGTAGAAGTGATCTAAAGATTAAAACAGAGCCAAAAAAATATTGTTTTTGGTATATAATACCTAGTATTCTTTAAACTAATCAAAAGTATATCAATACCTTTCTGAAGTCACCTCCAAATGTATAAATTAATTTACATGTACTTGTAGAAGCAAGTACACAGGAAGCATTGAAATAAGAACATCTACACATATTCCCTGAAAGTTGTTTTAACGAAAGTATAGTATTCACAAGTAAGATCACGAGACATTCAATGAATAATGTACACAACTTGGACATAACAAAGGTATTCAAATCAATTAACAAGCAATAAATACCATTTTTACTCTGTTTTACAAATACTAGTGCCATCAAGTCTTTTTGACTTGACTTTTATATACAGAATGAAAGTGTGGTAAACTTGTCATTGTCATGTTGATGCTTTTCAGCTACATTATCTCTTTAATATAGTTTCTAACTTAAAGTAAAGAGAAATTCTATTCCCATTCATTCAAGATATTAACTTAATTTTTTATGTTAGATAGGTGCCTTGATTATCACTCGTTTGTGCTCACTAGTGACTAGCTTCGTGAGAAAATTCTCGGAGTTCTGGCGAGAAGCCGTGACCATTGGAGCTAATGTGTTGGGTAGAAACAGGTGTCTACCTTAGTACAATGGGAGATCGTCGCGCAACTTCGTGGATTGGTTGAGGGTAGACAGTAACACCATCAGGTGCCAGATCAGTGGTCCAGTAGGTTAAGCGTTCGCGAGAGATACTGAAGGCCCTAGGTTCGAATCCCCCGAGCGGGATCGTGGATGCGCACTGCGGAGGAGTCCCACAATAGAATATATAGTTGAAGTCAATTAAGCGATATCGTATGACCATTATATTTTGTTTTAAGTGATATCTATCTCACTCCTGACAAAGTTGAACTCCACCGATGATCACGACTCATCACACAAGAATTCAGAGATCTAGTACCCAGATGGTCACTAATCAGCACAATATTAGTACTAGTATTATTATGATTAGAGGAGAGTTATGACGAACATTCCATCCACAAACATCTGTTTCATCAAATAAAGTCTACTTTTCATTGTTTCTGTGCATGTAAAGTCGGTTTATGATGAAAAACTTATGATCGGGAAAAAACTGAGGATCAACTCATTCCATGCTAATACATTTCTTTCGAGGTAATTACTGACAAAAGAGTTGGTTTTATTCTCAATTTGTTTATTCATCGGTTAAATTAACAACATTAAACAAAGCAAGTTACATGATAAAGAAAAATGAGAATAAAAAGATAGATTACGTCATCACAGGTAATGGTTACAGAGATTATTGGAAGACAAGTATTACTGTTCTATTGTGTAAAGATCAATCTGACCATTCTGAAGGCAGCACATAATCCTTACAGGATCTTTATCGAAAGTGACCAATTTCGTAATATGCTCGCCACTTGGATAAATTTTGATCTAACCCAATAGATAAAATAAAACAAACGCGTGAAAATGTTTAAAAATCAATTGAAATGACAAACCACTAGTTTTTTCAGTTTGTGTCATTCTTAACTACTCCTGGAGCCACTCTGGGACTACTGCCAATCCCAAGGCTGGATGAAGGGTTAGCGACCTAATCCCGTAGAAAACTAACTCGCTAAAAAACGCTAACCACAAAAAAAACAATTCAGACACGGCGGTGTTTCATTCGTTTATTATAAAAGTCACTTAAACAAGGAAATCGCACTCTACAAAATATTCTAAAATATATTCCACTATAATTAAGCATACAGTCACCATCACCACACGCACAAACACACACACACACACACTGAACAAAGTGCAACCTACTACTTCTAAAATGGTGAGTAGGCAGATTTTTAGAGAAGTTCGGGATCACAAAGATCAAGTGTCAAATATATTTATGCATCGAATCAAACTTTGAATGTATGTTTTTTTTACCGAGAATCGATCACGAGAATAGAAAGAGGAGACTGTAAAACGAAGGAGGAATACATTAGAAACGATATAATGTATGCATCAACATAAATCACTACACTACACATTAGCAATAGCGACAAGCAACTGATAGAAAGAGGGTCAAAGAAGTGGAAATCGTATGTTGTCGTTAATATCGTTACATGTCTATGTGATTGATTCTGACTTTTGAACAGATGAGTTATTCTAATCTTTTCTGTCATTCTGTCACTTATGCATGTGACCTTTAGCATATTATTCAAAGTCCAAAAGTTCACAACCTTACATAATAGCTTACCATAGTAATTTATTAACCAACCCCTATAATTATTATAAACTACTTGGTGGTTCCACTGTGTTACTCAAGATATTTATGATTACATAACAGTAACCCATGTACCCACATATATCCTCCTCTTCAAAAGGCTATGTACTACACATAGAAACATAACAGTTGTGAAGATATTGAGGTACGATCATAGTTAGGAAGTTTTGAGATCTTCCATTGCTATTGTTATTATCTCACCCTTTGGTGAGTACATACCTTGTATATTACTTTAAATACTACACATTTATCACATGCTTAAAATTTGGCCATAGAAAATTATCTGAAATACCATAATACAAGTGTGTATTTGTGTAAAGTACATTTTTAATCAAGTTGACATAAATTAACTATCAAATAGATGATTTTGTCAAAATCCCAGAAAAAATTTAATATAAAGATCATATGTTTGTGGAATAAGGATAACGTTATGATGCTTAAAACGGTGAGAATATAATTTATAGACGACCTCTGGGAGATGCTAAAATAAATGTTCGCTTACCAACTAGGACTAAGTGAGGGTTATAAACCAGTGTGAGGAATTAGGATTATAGTTTACAGTTGATGGTTAGGGTTGGGAATTAGATTTACGGTTTTCATCACGAACTGACATAGTCTATAATGCCAAAACTCTATTTAGCCAAATGGATGAATGCTTTTCACGCGAAAATTCGAGACTCTTTATCTTAAATCTGATTATTTCGTCCATCAATTATAGTCCCACCGCTTTTGAATCTACCGTTTGATTAAAATACTCATACTGCAATATGAAACATACGATAGAAATAAGGACAGTGATTATTCACTTCTTACCTGTTCCCATTTGCTTAATTTCGATTTATTACAAACATTGATAGAACATTTCAACAAACGTAGAAAGCTATCCGACGTTGCCAACAATAAATAGACTATTAAATTTTCACTATCAAGATGAGTTGAAGTGATACAATAAGCAGTGACTTGTAAATCCATTCCTTCCAGCTAAGGATAAACACAGATACAATGTGATTATTTATGACCAGTAAAATTTGAAGTAAACAATTCAAAATACCTCTTTATAAACTTCCCATCAAATAGTAAATTCATTTGGTGTGACATTGGAGATTAAAAAGCACTAAGCAGCTTCTTCATTTTTTGGTTGACGATTGATTCCTTAGTGAAGAGCATCAGTGATCGCTCCAGAAATTGAATTCACGAGCTTAAAGTGTTTCTGTAGAGTTTATTATCAAATTTGACCATTGATTCATTATATGTATCATGTTGTGGAGATAGTTGAATTCCATTGAAATTATGAGCTGATTTAAGTTGGATTGACACTGAAGATCTAAATGTACGGATGGCCAATTCCTCCTGGCACGGGACTCCTCAGAAGTACAGATCTACGAAACTAACACCAAGGTCTAGACGCTAAGAGTTCACGCGTGGGACAGAAAATCGTGGATCCGACTTCCACGTGCGCAGTCGTGGATATGCACTGCTGAGGAGTCTCATATTGGGACGAAACGGTTGTCTAGTGCTTCTGTGTTTTTAATAGTTGTCTAACTTAGATCAATCCATGATTTCAATGAAATTCAATAATCTACATAACCCTATATCCACAATTAAGTAACATAAACAATGTTCAGAATAAAATAATTATATATAAAATCTATTTCTAACAATATTAACACAGATGAACTGAACTTTTTCACATTGTAAAACTATCGGGTTATGTACCCACCTACACATTCATTCAAATATCATAATGACATGATATTAACATGACCAGACTTGTTTTGATTGTAGTAAAAAACAAACATTAATTGAACCTAAGTTCATCTATTTCTAATGTATAACACTCACTATAAGCAAAGATGGATAGTGGCTAGCAGTGGGATCCAGGACGCGCGTTTCGTCCTGCATGGAACTCGTCAGCTGGACGTACCTGCATCTCACAGTTGATGTTCACTCTGGGACTCGAACCCAGTACCCTTCGCTTCAAACGCCATCGCGTTATCCACTAACCTACTGAGTCCTGATAGCCACTTGCTTGTGCAATGGGTGAAGTTTAATTCACTTGATATTGTTTTAGTTGAATCTTCCCATTGATGTTTTAGGACTGAAATTGATCAGTCTCTTATTGGCATACGTGCATACTGTGCGTATGTCTCGATATTGCCTTAATTTACAAGCATTATAAGCAAAGATGGATAGTGGCTAGCAGTGGCTATCAGTACTCAGTAGCTAAGTGAATAACGCGATGGCGTTTGAAGCGAACGGTGCTGAGTTCGAGTCCCAGAGTGAACATCAACTCTGAGATGCAGGTACATCCAGCTGACGAGTTCCAAACAGGACGAAACGCGCGTCCTGGATTCCACTGCTAGCCACTATCCATCTTTGCTTATAATGCTTGTAAATTAAGGCAATATCGAGGCATACGCACAGTATGCACATATGCCAATAAGAGACTGATCAATTTCAGTCCTAAAACATCAATGGGAAGATTCAACTAAAACAATACCAAGTGAATATAACAGTCACTGTTTACTACAATCTATATATTACATTGTGATTATATTCATAGCTTATTAACAAGGCATCTAAGAAAATTACTAGAATTATGAAAAGTTCACTTCAAATCTATGTTCAAACAAGTCATAGTAACTATTGAAAAGAATTTTTTGCTCTACTTTTATGCGTAAACAATAGTAACTAACCGAAATATTCAATAGCATATGCTCATCACTATTAAAGAAGATAATCCGTGGTTCAGATTTTAATTTGCTTGTTACAATATAAAATCTAAATGAACAAAAAAGAAAAAAAACAAACAAATAAAGTCAGTTTGCCAAATTATAATTTTGAGTGTAAATATGAAATTTAACTGGAATGAGAACGTTCAGTCATTTTTTTCTCCCTTCTTTTATCTACAATAAACAAAGAAAAATCGGTTCCTTTACGCACTCTACACAAATCTCTATTTCAATCATCTGATAAGGCTTACTATTGTATGTCGATAATAAAGAAAAGATGATAGATCAAGTGTATATCTATAACACAGTGTATTAACGAGCAACTACTGCAACACACATTGGGGATACTGAACAGCATAATATATAATCATAAACAGTAGACTATAAATATGGTAGTTAAATTTAGTCATATTACCTGAAGGAATAGATGAACACGTCTCGGACTGTGAAGCTGAGTGACAGAGGATCGAGTACATCAGGAATCACCGCTTACTTTAAGATTCAATGTACACCTTGCTGTCCAGTGCCGAATAGAATGAAACCTAGAGCCAAGGTTTACTGTCGGCTCAGCTTTTTGTACTTACGATTATGCATACCTTTTCTATACAGTTTTAAACGTCATAAGAAGCCATTGATTCCATTCATTATTCTCTGATATAACGGCTGAATAAAAATATTTACTATTTCAGCGTGTTACATTACACTAACACAATAATACGGCCGGTGAACGAGGTTTCACTACTACTACTACTCTGGATACTCGATTGCTAAGCTGTATATTGACAATACCACGTTATAACAAATATACAAATCACAATCAATAATACAGAATCGGAACATATGCTGGACAACACTATATTCAACACAATGACTAACAGTCACACTCAGTGAGTCCAAAGTAGAAAGCAATAATAGGTAAGAAACCAAAAATTAAGTAGTCGACAAGATGGGTATCTATCTATTCACCATCAATGGTCAGTCACATCTATTTTCACTGTCCACATATACTAGGACGAGACGGCCGTCCGATACCTCCAGGTTTTCAATAGTTGTCCAACTTACATAAGTCCATGATTTTAATGAAATTCAACGGCCTACACAACCTCTTACCGAAAAACATTCTTTATGCTTAATTACAAAGTAAGTTCATGACAAATATTTCTATCCATTTGTTTCACAATTTTCCATTTTCTTTCTTCTAGATATACTACTGTATAAAATGGAATAACTTGTTAAAGGTACTCTACATTGTTTATCATCCACATCAGTGTTATAAATAAGTTTTAGTAGGTGTTCAAAACAATGGTGTAAATATATTTTTGTAAGAACAAAATGAAACTTACAACTTGAAACTATTTCCGTTAGGTAAACAAAGTGGTTCAATTCTGTCAATATAGATATTTTCCAAATTATTGATAGATCCACGAAGTGGTGTGAATACATTTGCCTAAAATTTTATACGTAAGTATAAATGATAATTATACTTAAACTAAAAACAATTCAAATGTATGGGAAAAAAAGACGTTCGGTTCCAGATGTCCAGTTCGAATTCTATTCAAAACATTATCACATATGTGTATGATCTTGGTGTATTTTCATGAGTATCATTGCATTAAAAATACTACATAGTAATTAAATCTCTTAGAAACAAATCAGCACCCTTGTTGAAGTCAACTCTGAATATATTCACGAATTTCTATGTATTTGTTGGATATAGTTTTCGGGACATGCTCACTAAGCCTTACTCTTTACAAAATGCAAAATCTTAAACATTTGACTATCAGGGCCATTGATGAACAAAGAAAATAGACAGAAAGAGAGACTATATATTTATGGATGAATTAATCAAATATAAGATAACAGGTCTTGGATTGTAGCACGAAATTCATTCATCCATTTGGCTAGATAGTGTTTTGGTATTTTAACTGATATCAGTTTGTGATGAGAACTCTAGATCTAATTCCTCACATTGGTTTATAGCCCTCATTTAGTGATAGTTAGTAGGTGGTTATTCTCAAGGTTACTTTCGCGTCGCTCAAAAGTCGTCCATAAATTATAGTTTCACCGTAAATCCTACTGAGAGCTTATAGACTAATTTACATATGTAGAAATACCATTACATAGTAGCTAAATTTACAGAGTTCGCTAAGTACACACGTCAATGTTCAGTACTGAAGAACTGTTTATTTTCTTCTGTAATAAACTACGCGTCATTCTACTAAATGAAATCGGCTATTGGGTCTTAACTGAGATGAATTGTGAAAGTAGAGAACACGTGTCACTTACATAAACACAATATAATTCACCAAGTTATATACTGAGTTAAAACAACTACGTAATAAGCGATATTACTTAACTCTTTGTACAATAAGTTGTAGCATAGATTTGTGCATTTTGAATTAAATCTAGTTAAATTCATAATTATAAAAGAAATAAGTATTTTACATAGAATATCACTTACACTATGATCATCAAATGGATGAAATAAAGCTGATCCATTATGTGCTACAAGTATACCATCCTGATATGTACATAATGAACTGCACCAATGACTTGAAAGATTGCAGGTAAATAAAATAAATATCATGTAGCAATATACATTCTAATAACATGCATTATTCTAAATAAGAAGAAAATTTCTAAAGGTAATAGAATGGTAAACAACAAACCAATAACATTTAGTGAACATTGATAGTTTTCATTATGATTAAAATCAGTTAGTCTCGGAAAGCATTCACGTAAGTGACAATCTTACATCACCATTCTAAATTGAATCCCTAAATCACGTTGAATATACACAAACACAATGGAAATATTTGTTTTTATACAAGTAAAGAGTTGTACAAGAAACAATCAAACCCAAAATCATCAGGTTTCCTGACGAATGCTTTACATTGCGACAATCATTTTTCATATGAATTCCTAAAATGTTAATCGGAGCTAGTGAAAATTTTAGCATATATATATATATATATATATATATATATATATATATATGCGCCACATATTCGATCTATGTGAAAGCTAGACTACTATACGGGCACCCAAACCGAAGCACATGGTTTACTTAGGGGGCCACATCCCGAGCCTTTCAGTTAAAGGTCTAATCCAAAAAGTAATGGAACAACTTTGGGAGATGCAGTCACATGGTAACCAGTGACCAACAATAGGTTCGTACACCGTTCGTTCCTTCAGGATACTGGAGCATATATGCACCATTTGTTTGGAATCAGGGTTTTCCAACTCCTCTAGGTGAATCCTCAAAATCGACGAATCTGGTTGAAGTACCAGACATTCGCTTTCTGTCCTCTCGATTTCGTAAACAACACCCTCGCCACGAGAAGGCAGTGACGAGTAAGACTTCCCTAGCAGAGACTGTATACGCATGGCCATGTGAGAGCATTTCGAGAGGGTGAGATGACTCTCTCCTCCCTCGGCAATATCAAGGCTTTCAAGATATCGTAAACAATTTCGTGATGCATTTTAAAATTAAAATTTTCAAAGACTATGATAATTTCTGTTACGTTATGATTCGTTCGTCTAATTATTCAAATTAATGAAACTTAACTATTCACGATTATATTCTACCTTGAAAATTAGGCATATCATAGTTTAATTTCACTAACACTGAAACTAATCAGCTACATAAATACACTTAACCAACACAATAAATAATCAATTTGATCTTTATTTCAGTTATTCAATAGATCAAACATATAACTACTACAGATTGATGATGATAAGTCAATGAGGATTATTTATTTAGCTGTTAGAGAGAGAGAAAAGAAAACTCCATAATATTATTAACATAAACAACAACAACAAATCGTGAATGAACTTTGATTTTTCTTTCTTTTTGTTTTTGTTTTGAAAATATACTTTTTAAAGAATATGGTAATACAAAACTGTGCTGAATTCTTTCAGATAATGAATTACTTAGCCACTCAAGTAAATGGTACATTTTACCGTTATTAATTATCTAAATATGATATAAATTATATAGCTGAAATTAAAAAAAAAATTTCTCTATGAACTTTAACGAGAATCACAAGAGTATGGAACAAAGTGTGTTTGCAGTGACTCATTTGAAATACCTACAATGTATAATTATCTACTTTTTTTGTTTTTACTACACGATAACTATTCAACATTTCAACTCTAATTCAGTCAAGAACTTTGTAACCTTGTATACAATATATTTTCACAGACCTATTATCACATCATGGATGTGCACTGCTGAGGAGTCTCATACTAAGATGCAACGGCCATCCAGTATTTCCAGGTTTTCCATGGTGGTCTAGCTTCAATTGACTCATGATTTCAACTATTGAAATTACTAAAATCTCCACAAAACCCCTTCTGATATTATCACATCTGTTACATAGATGTATGTGTGTGTATGTTGTATAATTTTTTATATTATCCGCTGCATACGCTTATTCGTAATTGGTTTATCTGTTCATATAAATTTTCAAAATATGTTTCCGGAACACTCGTATCCCAACAGTTGATAAACCCTTGTTGTTCTAAGCGTGTTAAGTTGACAAAATATACACGACATTAGTAAGGATCTATGTTTCATTAGTATCATCATTCGTCAACTTATGGAGTCAACATCTATCTGTTACCCTGAATTGCCATAACACATCAGTAGAACCAGATGAAATTAATAAGGGAATTAAAATCGCCGGCAGGAGCAATAATAGTAAGAAAGACTAAGCGTAAAGAATGTAGTTCGAGAGGATTGAATGGGAAGTTAGATAGGGAGAATTATCATGACTTATGATCGAGAGGATGAAAGAGGGTGAATGTGTTAGCACAACTCGAAGACTCTACATATTAATATTCCATTTAAAATTAAGTTAAGATTAAGCTAGTGAAAGTGTGTTCATGATAAAAGATTCACCATCAATGAGAAAGTTTCGTCAATGAACAGTGAAACATGTAAAACAAAAGTATGAGCATGGAATTTAACTGATTATTAGTGAATATTTAAAAACAAATGAGCTATCTATGGATAAGCGGCATAAAAAAATGCTGATATGTAGATAAAAATTTACAACGTAAAATAAAACGAAAAGAAATCCACTTACTTATCTCGAACACGAAGGTGAATGAGTTCATCGTCTGTACGTTTAAATGGAATAATGACAATTTCACCATTGGACAAAAGTGCTACAACACCACACTGATTCATACTAACTGGTTCATGATGTAAAGCAGACATTTCGACAACGATATGGTCTGTTTTAAATCTTTATCGAGAAAAGAAACATGATAACGAAATCACAATATCATGTTAGAGAAAAAAATAAAAGGATGATGGAAATACTTTAAATAATAAAATGATACAAATAACTACATTTCGTTATGAGAAATGTAACTTATTTATTAAGTCAAGACATTTGTATCAAGCCATAACGTTTATGTGAGGATTAGTGTTATAATACTCGGGCATCTATAGCTAAGTTGCTAGAATAATGTTTGAACTTCAAACCCAACGGTTGAAAAACAAATAATTCTCCCATTCATTAAGTCACTGTTCGATGTCAACATATAAAAGAAACATTTAAAAAATGAGTGTCTAGGTTTAAAAAAATGTCTGCATAAAAGCTACTTCATTCAATGAGTTCAACATTGAATTAAACAAAATCCAAAGTGAAAGACAATGTTCGTCTGCAAGAAATATAAAAAGATGGTTAATTTTTTCAGATAAAACTCTACTGAAAGAAAGAAGCCACAATTAAGTAAATTGAATTCATTGAATATACTCTATTAGTTCATACTTGAATCAAACCACTGTAAGTGACTGTACTCAATAAAGCAAGGATGAAGAATAGGAAAGCAATAAGGATACGGAATATCCACGACAGCGAAGCAATAAGTATTATACGTTGCATTATAGGGTATTAAAACAAGCATTCTGTACTATTATTAATATCTATCAAGTGACTGACACCCCTATCGCCTATAGGAAACTGGAATTTGAAAATGAGAATAATAAATATGACTGAATTCCACAATTCATAGCAACATTTCTCATTGTCTGGCTGACTAAATGTGAATAAATATTTATTTCTAAGTATATTAATGACAAACATAGTTTGCACTGTGTTTGAATTACAAAAAATACTATGTGAGTGAATGAGTAAAGTAGCTGTGAAAATCTGTCTCAGGTATGCACTTATGAAATAGTGAGACACATTGAGAATATCATTAAAATCACAAACTGACCCAAGTTAGAAAACTATTGAAAACCTGGAAGCACTGGACGGTTGTTTCGTTTTAGTATGGGACTCCTCAGATGTGTGCATCCACGACTTCACAAGCAGGGGACGAATCTGCGAACTTCAGTCTCGTGCACCACCACTTAACCTCTAGATAGCTAGTCGCGGGTAGGAGTGCTATCCGGAAAGTGAGTTTTTTCCTATTTAAAATTAGTCAGATGGATGTACCCTCATCCTAGGCGTTACTATTCACACTAAGTCTTGAATCGAATACCTTTCACTTCAAACATTAAACGGATTATTTCCTTAAGTTATAGAGTCCAATATATCTCTTTTCTAGAAAAAAGTACATATTTCAATAAATATTATAACGTTACCTTTGTATTTCAGCATAACCATCAATTGTTTTAATTGACCATAATGCATTTAATTCAACAATATTTATATCCAATTGTTTTCCATTTGAAAATAGCTCTAATAAACTATTTTCCAAATCAGTTTTATTAATTAAAATATCATGATTAAGGTGTATGTGCAATATTAAAATCTCATAACCGAAAGCAATAAAAATGAAATAATCTATTTTATTTTCTTCATTATTCATTGTCCATGATTGTGTAACAATACTATTTATACTGTATCTTGGTTTCATATATGAATTAGTTAAACGTATCAATGGTTGATATGTAGTGGTAGCAGTAGTTATAGTTTTGATTGATTGAGAAGTTGATGAACCGCGAGCAGCCCAAATAATACAGTCACCATCAACTGAACCAGTTATACAAAGTTGTAAATTCTTTGTCACATACAGATAATCAGCACATATAACTGGTCCAGTATGTTGAAGAGTTGGTTTACCTGAAGAAAACACATAGGGGTAACATTGTGAGATTTATTAATTTTTCTAGGAATATTATCAAAAACATATTAAGACACGTTCCAAGCTTTACAGGATCTACGGAAGAAAGAAACTACGATGGAGCATTAACTTCAACGTGTCAGGAGGCTCTGGGCCGCAAGAAGCTTCATCATAAGGAATAGATTTCTATCGAAACCAGGGTCAGGATTCAAGAAAAGAAAAACAAGAAGAGAGCAATTAACAACGACCGAGCAAAAGCAGAGAAAGACAAGGCACAAGCTGAATGCACTGAAGCGAAAAAGCAAGTGAAGAGGAGCGTTAGAACCAGCAAGCAGAAATAACCACATTGATACTTCATTTTCCACACAATCTACATACATACACACACTACTTCACATTAATAATTATAAATTTTTCATACCCACCTTCTGACGCACAAATTATTACAGTGACATGTCATACAAATTCATCTTGACCAAAAACATCATGACATGTTCAGACCAATTATGATTTCGATTGTACTAAAAATATTCCATACTGTTTCCTTTGTACTATTTAAACTTGTAATAATTCTATTTCGGTTATTTGTCGGTTTACTTTAAAGAAGTGAGTTACAATTAGTCACGAAACATCAGGAATACAATTTTCTACTCAGTACGAACGTAAACACAATCCTAAAAATATATTTATTATTAACTATTCTGAAGTCTATAGCAAACAGATTGAGAGAAAAGACAGTTTATTAGGTATTATGTGGAGTATTAGTAAGATGTAAACAAGCTACAAACCAAATTTTATCTTAAACTCAGAAAGAATTTGAGTTTTTCCAAAGAGATTTTCCAGAGTGAAAAATTTAATGGAAACACTTTTGAGGGAGTATTTCCACAAATTAAAGTTCGCCTCTCTTCCAAAAAGTAACAGATACATTTCCACTTATAGTGTGTGTTATGTAAGAAAAAATAACCTGAGACAGAATTACATACTGTGAGATATCAAACATTTAAAATAATATTGTCACTTACATGATAAAGAACTATTCGATAAAGGTAAATTCCACAGTCGAATGTCACAGCCAATTGTTTTAGAATCACAATTTTGACCAGCTACACTGATAAGTAATGTATCATCATTATTCGAATTCAGAGGTTTTGTACAACTTAATCCACAAGGAATTAAGCCAGCATGACCACTTAGAGTAGCATGATATCCTGTAAGTGATGGTTCATATATTCGAAATTGAAACTCTTGAATATTACGTGAACCGGAAATTGTTTGACCAACCAAAAGTTTCACATTAGTCTCATCAAGTAATTCTGACAAGGAGCCAGGACGATTAACAAATTTGTCAAAAATATGAGATCCTGTTGATTCATCACTATTGAAAGCAACATTATTACACTTATTCACAGTCATTAGATCTTTCTCTGAGCACTGACTTGGTGTTTCATCGGAACCCTCGTCCATTAATTCATCATTATTTAAACAGCACTGATCAGAAGTTCCTTTCACACTTTCTTCGTCGCTAACTAGATTTTCATCCGTAATATCCTGATGCTGTAAACTGTCATCTTCATTGTTATTAATATCATTAGACGATAATGAACGTGGACTATTATTGGAATCCATAGTATCGACCACAGAATCTTTACTTTTATGAGGTTCTAGTTCATCGTAAGAATTGATAACATTTTTATTGTTCGCTAAAGTAAATGATATGAATGAAATTAATATGCGCAAACAACGATAATATAAAGTATTTCTAAACATACAGTGACTTCAGTGAAAGAATCACTGAGAACAGAGAAGCGCTGGATATTTGCTTCATTTTTGACTTGCATATTCACATTAACACTATGTGTATAATCATGACTTTGTCATGAGTCCCAAAATTTTCTGACACCTTGACATGATGGTCGACCTTGCACATTGTGACGAACCAATAGAGCTGTACTAGCTGGAACTATCGTTCCTCAAGCTCCTACCATGCCAGACCGGTCGGTCAAAGGGCGGCACGACTAAAAGCATATATATTTAGTTCCCCCTTATACCAATACTTATGTGTTCAAATAAATAAATAAAAAAGCAGCAAACTCAAGGACTGAGGGCGAAGTCTTACTGCTGAGTTTACAGAGGTGTGACGGCAGTAAGGTGTTCCTTCAAACAACCAGCATAACAGTGATGCTGCCTTTCCACAATGAAAGGGTAGGGTTAGAAAAGGTAGTCCGTAAAAATGCACACCTCACCTTATCCCACGGATTTCCATCTCCGGTGGTTAGGGTCGAACAAGTATGGAGCTAAAACGAAAATTCCTCATAAAAAGGTCATGTGTGACCGGCCTCAAGTAGTTGTCCCTAGGGCATTGCGATCACGCTCTCAGGTCATTAAAGACCATCCCTAACCCAATTTCCTTTTCAGATAACTCTAGAAAAATCCTTTCACGGTGTGGGAACCGGGAAGTGAAAACCGCCTTCATACCTCTAACAGCACTCAAGACCATTGGGTTCATAATTAATCTCCCTGTTCAATTCCTATTATTCGTCCTACCTCGTTTTAAATCCAGACTCCCTCTTTTGACTTCCTCCTCAAGTGTCACTATGTCGAACAATTCTAGTGCACGAAACATTGTCCCAGGTTTACTGAAACCTCGCTCCAAACTACACATTGGAGCAACTGTGTTCAGACAGTTGTTTATTTTTAACTAGCACTTTTCAAACGGAATTATTTTCTACAAATATTTTCTTTCATAAAAATTAACATACATTTAGATTGAGATCATGAACCAATATAAGCTAGACCACCATTGAGAACCTAGAAGCTGTGGACGGCGGTTTCGTCATAGTGTGAGACTCATCAACAGTGCGCCCCCATAACCCCGCTCCAATTACTAGAAATCGTACTTATGTGCATAGTTTACACAAGTGTATACAAATTAATGTAAACGCTTAGTGCACTGGTAATTTTAAAGTACATTTTATTCAAATGTAAAATATAATCAGTTTGATAAAAAGGAATAAGAGTAATTATCAACAGACGTGTCATTAAACAACAGAATCAATGATCAATGAACTGAAAATGATACATACCTACTGATGATACAGTCAAAAACGGAATAAGTAAAGAGAGCAGTTCAAACAGTTGACCAAGTGATTGAAAGTGAATTTAGCATTAAGGAAAGATAAATTTAAAATCTACTAACCGTGTAAGAAGCACTACATCACAGAAAGTGAATGACTCCTTCATTTACACACATTTAATCACAAGGTATCAATTAAATGTATATTAAATATATTACTATCTATATCAATGCACTTATACAGCTATATTAGCAAACCACACTTTAAATTCGTAAATTATTCTCGACAAAAGTGAGATCCCTTCTCAATATTCAATAAAAGTCCAATATCTACGTTTTCTAACCATTTTATTTTGTTCATTTAGTGAGTCAGTACTGTATATAAGAACATGATTATCATTGATTGCTTCATTCTAATTATCTAGGGCGACCTAAATATGTATTCTTTGAACACGACACTGTAGTAAATCTTAACTTACAACATTAAGAAGGGAACAAATACAGCGAAAATTACGGCTTGAAATAGAATCCTCAGTTAAAATTATACTCTTATATACAGTATTTAATCGACAACGAAATGAAAAGAAAAAACAAGCTAAATATTGTAAAAAAAATATATTAAACATTGAAAAATTGATGTGTTGATGCAACAAAAGAAAAACCATTCTAACTTACATGAATAATAACAAGGAGTATATTCAAATGATTGAACTTTAATAAGATTCACTACATTCTCATTGGTTGTATTCGAGTTCAAGGTGTCTAACGGTGATGATATTATCATTTCACTGATAAGTTCAAAATTTTCATTTCGACCATATCGCCATACACTTATATGACCATTAGATGTAGCAGAAAAAATATAAGGATACTACAATTTTGAAATTTAAGAGAAAGAAAGGACAACATGGATCTTTATTTTGATATACTTTGAATTAAATACGTGTAGAGTCTGATGTATGACATAAAGAGAGAAATCATTTGATGTGAATACTACAAACTAAATAATGATGACCTAAACTTAATATCCTTTATAATTATTGTTTAATTTTATGTGAAAAACACAGATTGAGCAATGAGCATAATAGAGATGGATAGTGAATAACAATGAAATCCAAGATGAGTATTTCATCCACTTCTAGACACTATCCATCTCTGCTTATAATAATTAAGACTTAAGGCAATATCGAAGCAATCCACATAGGATGCACATATGCCAATAGGAGACTGATCAATTTTGAGTCCTAAACATAAAAAGGTAGATTCAAATAACCAATACAAAAATGCAATGAATATACTAGTTTTCATTTAAGCTGTGATAAATATGGAGTTTGGACAAATTGATTACCTCACTACTTTTCTTTTGTTTTATATTCAATATTCAATCTAGTTTACCACTAATAGCTATCAGAATGTGATTAGGATAAAGCTAATGAAGATAAATGATTTGTTAATTTCAATTATCACTAGGTCTCATGGGAAAAAAAGCACAACTCTATTTTAAACTCGAATATATAAATCGGTGTAGCTGATGAATGGTTAGTTACAGTTTTGCTTCTATAAAACACGCACACAAACATACACATAAAAGAACAACAAACACAAACGATTAGCAATATGACCATCCATGAAACTTACATTGAAATCAAGTGATTTAATGCCAAGTTTATATGAAACAAGTGTTTGTTTCAATTTATATTTCTTTGATTTAATTCTATATAGATGAATTGACTGATCATTACTTCCAACAAGTAATGTTAGTTTTCTGTCATGCATTTTATGCGGAATATGTGACCATTTCAATGATATAATCCAATCTTTAGAAGCATTATGTATGATGTATTGAAGTGTTACTTTTGCAGTATTTGAATCATAACTGTAGATAGCTACATTCTGGTACGTACAAAAAAAGAATAGAGATCTAGTTATAGTGAATTCAATCTAATATTTTAAACGATGAACAGACTAGTTCATCAATCACTGAACATTTGAATGAAACGGTTGCAAAACAAACTTATAGAGCATTGATTTAGTGAACAAAGTATTTGATCGGCAACAGTTGGGCTTCTTCTATTTGATCAATTTGATAATCATGCTAACTCCCTTTAACAAACAAATACCTGGATCAATGAACAATTATTTTATCCTTTGGATATGAATAAGTAAATGACACTACGTAGAATTCAAAATTAGAAATTAGAAATATAATAGTTTTCCACATTTGAAACAGAATTCCATAATCATCATTTCCAAGCTCAACCAATTTGTGCTATATTGCAGAGTCATTGATAATATTTGAGTATATAACTATTTCTCATTCGAATAATTTTTATTTTATTTATTTAGTTACACACATAAACATTAGTACAATGAAGCACTATATATATATATATATATGCACCACATATCATTCGATCTATGTGAAAGCTAGACTATTATACGGGCACCCAAACCGAAGCACATGGTTTACTTAGGGGGCCACATCCTGTTATAACGTGAAAAATGCTTCTGATTAAAGGGGTAGCGAATTATTGATCGGACCAAAGACGCGCAAACACGTAGAACGACCTAGGGTTCTGATTGGTCCCGCTTCCCTGTCTAACCCAGCCAGTTGAGTCCAGAACGCAAGTCACAGCCTCGGATATTTGAATCATTATATTTCAAACATACTTTGTTTATATACCAGTCAAGCAGACCACAACGTACCACAAAATAGAAAATAACATTGTACAATATTGGCCAACAGGAAAATAACACGTTAAATAAATATTGACCAATAAGATGATACCATTTCATGTCCAAGGATAGCATTAGGCTTAACAGGATAATTTTCGGGATATTTTCCTGAATATCCCAACATATCCCGAGCCTTTCAGTTAAAGGTCTGATCCACAAAGTAATGGAACAACTTTGGGAGATGCAGTCACATGGTAACCAGTGACCAACAATAGGTTCGTACACCGTTCGTTCCTTCAGGATACTGGAGCATATATGCACCATTTGTTTGGAATCAGGGTTTTCCAACTCCCCTAGATGAATCCTCAAAATCGACGAATCTGGTTGAAGTACCAGACATTCGCTTTCTGTCCTCTCGATTTCGTAAACAACACCGTCACCACGAGAAGGCAGTGATTGGTAAGACTTCCCTAGCAGAGACTGTATACGCATGGCCATGTGAGAGCATTTCGAGGGGGTGAGATGACCCTCCCCACTCTCGGTCGTACTAGCTTCACACAGTACAACTAGAATGTTGAGATCATTTCAAAGCCAGTTACTGGTGAACACATGATTAGTGCTTAAGTAAGTAGTTTATAGACATTTATTTAATTTAAGCATGTATGTTTTATCGCGAACTGATACAACCTTGAGCTAATAAGAATTGTGAAATGAAATAAATCAGTCTTCTTAAATAGATAGAGAAAGAGAATCAAATGAAAGATGATAATGTTAAACACAAACATGTATTTTAAGGAATTAATATATTAGTATTAAATGTAGAAGTCTATGAAAATGAAGTAGTAATGAATAACTTAGTGAGGTTGCAAAAGATGATTAAAAAGTTAAAAATATTGAATAGAACGGTCTATAAACAGAAGTGTTTTATTTCAAAGTGATTCAAAGTGGATCAAGCAATCAAAAATACCAAGAAATAAACTTACATAACAGTTTCGTGGTTAGAAATAGTAACAATTAATAATTAAAAGATAACTGTCTACCTTATTGAGAAGATAGTGAAGAATGAGATAATAATTGACACTTAGTATTTTTAGGATTAGAAGTTGTACTAAGACCATGGAAGAATAATGAATTGGACTTGACTCTTTTGTACGCAGTGGATGCGTTTTGAACGGTGAATAGCTCTAGTTTCTTCATTTAAAAGCTTTTTCGAGCCACTTTTAATTTTATAGATGATTTTCAGCGACGATTGGCATGTGATGACTAGAGTTGACCCCGTGATCAGAGATTGTGATTTTGATCAATTTTGTATTCCTGTTTAGATAGCTATGCAGGGTAGTCTCCAAAACTTCGTTCATCATGAGCACGATCAACAAAAGCACGTAAACTGATAAATGTACATAAAGGTAGACCAAGGAGGAAGTTGTTTATCATTGGCATCTACCCAAAAGTGTTTATTCCTGGAGAAAACAATTCAAAATATCACACTGAATAAAAAAACTTTCTCGGAGAAAGGGTTGTACTTCAGTATCTTCACGGTCGTATCTCCTTGAATTCGATGTTCATGAATAAAACTTCGAAATTGAGGAGTACATCCAACTTGACATCTTGTACCTGGACGAAAAACTGTTGTCTGAAACTGTTCGTCGGATTTTATTCAATTCAAAATCAAGAATTATCACAAATAGAAAGAACTTTTAACATTTATAGACATGGAGGAGATACATGTAAATATATAAATAAATACCTACTATTACGCACACACTCCCAAAGGTCACGTATAAAATGAAAGATGACTGGAAAGATAAGAATAATTTATCTACCCAAAAGTTGAGGAAAATCGTGAAGGAGTGTAATAAAATAGAAGCTGCTATACATTCAAAGTGAGGACAACCATCTTTTTTCAGTGTTCAATGAAAAACAATGTCTACTTTCTTCGAATACTTTTTTCTGTTGGTTTAGTGGATCACGGAGCATTTTATTTCAATTATTTGAAACTATCTACATCTGTCATCTATGAACACGATGCTGTGGTATATCTCATCTTACACGACATTAAAAAAGAGACAAATACAGTGAAGATTACATTTCGAAATGGAATCTACGGTCAAAATTATACTTTTATATGCAGTATTCACTGGCTAATTAAACGAAAGGAAAAAAAGCTAGATATTGTGCAAATATATTAAACATTGAAAAATCTATGCGCTACACATTCACAAACACATATCCTGTTCTCATAATTAACAACAAGATTAAAACACTAACTTTATCTTTCGAGCCAGTAGCTATAAAATTTATTTGTACTGCGACAGCAGTTATTTGACCACTATGTTGTCGAAGACAAATTGATCTCACTAAAGGATTTTCTAACTTGGAACCAACAAAATACGCCCATACTTCACAATTCCCACCTCCGCTAACTGCGATAGAATTAGAAGCAGATGCGCATAGAGTACCACCAGCTTCACCTGTCCCATTCTCTGCATGTTCAATAGAATGTGACCAAGAAGTATACAAAGGTACAATGGATAAATTGCAAATAAATGTATATCAGACTGAACAGTAGAGTTATCATCTTGTTTTGATTTAATTTCAGGCTTAAAGCTAAAGTGATATAACTAGAAAAGAGAAAATAAATAACAGTAATCAATTAAATGGACAGATAAAATAAGAAAGTATGATGACATATTTACATTTAGATATAGATAGGACAAAATCCACTTACAAAAGTGGAAATTCAATGACCAGACATATTATATGATGTACACAATAAATCTGTTATTCACTGAATGTTATGTCCATAAATAAATGAATGGAATTTCACAGCAAACTACATCGACAGAGATTGTTAGGGAAAATAATAATTACGTCTGACCAACGCCTAGGTAGATGGATGATAATTAGCTGGTTTAAGAGTAGGTTAGAAGAAAGTAGAAGAAGGAGGGGTGTGTATCATTTTAACTTCATCTCAGCGTGCTAATACGGTCGGGACGTTGGGCCTGCACATATTTATTTCAGATCATATGTTGATTATGACTGACTGATTGACTATAATTCAAACAATTATGATTAGGTAAATCCAATATTATAACGCTTCACTGCAACTTATACAAACGGTGTGTTGACTACAATAAAGTATTTCAGGAATAAATATTAGTTAAAATATAAAATTCAAATCAACTGTAATTGTCAGAAGGGGTTTTGTGGAGATTTTTGTAATTTCAATAGTTGAAATCATGAGCCAATTGAAGCTAGACAACCATGGAAAACCTGGAAGCACTTGACGGCCGTTTCGTCCTAGTATGGGACTCCTCAGCAGTGCGAATCCATGACCTTATCTAGGCGATCGAACCCAGACGTTCAGTCTTGCGTGCGAACAATTAACCTCTAGATCACTGAGTCGGCATTCAATGGTATGATTAGTTTTGAGGAGCAATTGTTCGAGTCCTAGTGAAAAGTCGTGATCTGTGGAGCCAATCCATGTCGGGTGCGATACAGTCACCAACTAAAGACAATGGTAGATGATTACTTAATGTCATGGATTGATTAAGGTTAGGCATTAACGTCGGATGCTGGCTCAGTGTTCTAGAGCTTAAGCGAGGCCGAAGGTCCTGGTCCAAGTCCTGCGAGAGGGTTCGCATATGTATATGGTATTCGGTGGTGAAATCAATATATTCATAGTCGTCAAGGGACTTTATTAACCTCACCAAAGGTTGTTTAGTATGGCATACTCTATGTTTAATCGAATCTATGTTAATTGAGTAGTGTTAAAGTGAATGAGGGAAATTTGACAATTAACTATTTTTATAATGACTATCGATCAACCATGTAAAGAATTAATTAATCTTCAATGTTTCTGGAGAGTGAATTAAAATGTACTTAGGTCTCTAGGACTAGCATCTCACCTAGTCGGAGTATTAGACAACGTGCAACTCAACAGCTTGAGACACCATTATCATGTACAACTTGGAATAAAAGACAGTGGGGTTTCCTTTGTAGCATCTTATTGCATTCTGCATAGAAGTGCGATGATCTTTATTCTTGGTGTATTTTCAAGCAAACCACCATGGAAAACCTGGTGTTCTAGCTTCAATAGACTCATGATCTCAACTATTGAAATATGCAATTATATAATAAAGAATAGATACTTTCATGAGTATCTGGAAAAATCTCATAGTCACAAGCACTAGGTAGGGAAGTTGTTTTCAAATGAAAATTCTGCGATAACTTCATAAAAAAAAACCAGCTCAACGAAAACGGTGCAAGCATCAGGTTATACACACTTCAAGTTAGACCATAGAACGAATATCGTCATTATGCCAAAAACATTTAAATAATACGATTATTGGAAACATAATAATCAAAGATCAATCGGCACCTAATTCTGAACATTAAGTGATCATTTTTAGACTGGAAAATTGTCCCCTTTTAGATAAAGGTCTGCTACAAGAACGTTCAGGACTGGCTTCCTAGCTAATCTTCATAAACCTGGACTACTTCCACATGTAAAATTAAACAATACAAAAACGGTGGGAAAATGTTGATAAAAGCTTTACGTTAATGCTAGTTTATATACAGAAAATTTATAGAGTTGTACAAGACCATGCACTTCTATAACTCTACAGAAACATACCGAACATAGCAATGGTTTAAATAATTATCAATCGAAACGTGAAACGTGCTTATCCACTTTAGAGATTTTCTTGAAAAGCTTTTAGTGCTGATTATATACGAACTATTTCCTAGTGTTTTCTGGCTTCTAGATACTTCAACGGAGGATATATCTTTGAACTCCTGAACAACATCCACATATGACATAATAGTCAAAACTGATTTTGAAACAAATTAAATAGGGTCAAATTCATCATCGAAACAAAAAAACTAACCCTAACTGCACCAGATGACCAGCCAACAACGACAAGATTAGCATCATCGCAATAAGGTGAAATACCACAAGCGATAGCTTCAACAGATGAATTATCGTTTATCAAAGGAGTTAATTTATCCGAACTGAATACAGTATCACCATTGGTCATTAGAACAATAGTGAAGAGACCATCATTCCATCCAATTATGATATACTTTCCACTTATGTCAATAGTATAGGTTGTGACAAATATAGTTCGTTTCATTTCTTTCTTATTGCGACTAACGTTAATCCATGGACCTACAAAGAGAGAGAATAAACGCCTGGTTAATAGATGAAAAAATGCAGTTTAATGATTAAAAGAATCGGTTTTTCACTGTTCGTTCACCAGTTCCAACTCTGCACCAGGAACTTCATTTAAGTTAACTGGTAGTATCAATACGAAATACATAAGCGGTATAAGTCAAAGCGGCGAACGAAAATCTAAACAAGGTTATTTTCATTAATTACATGATAATTAGTTAGTTAGTCAATGATCAATAAACTCGACAAGATACAATCCAGCAGAGCAGATTCTTTCATGTGTATTCTTATAAATCATAGGTGCAAATATTCTGCAGCTAACACACAAAAAAGACTATAAAGAACAAGTGCTGAAGAGAAAATGAATCCAAAAGGTACAAAGAAATCTAAAACAAATAGTCATATATATGAATCCTTAACGTTTATACGCAATTCTTAACTGTACAATTTGTTATACAGAATACACAGTTGTTGAAGTTTGACTTATTAATCAGTATATTTGTCATTAAAAACAAGATAACAACAAACACTACTATTCATTATGTTACCTAATGATAAAGTTACTCCTATTATGCCTCAAATAAATAATTATAGGGTCAAAACGAAAATGTCAGAGAATCCTAATGAATAGATAATAAGACGAAGGAATGGCTTAATGATTAACGACTTTCAAACGTATTTACGGAAGCAAATAATTAGGAAGCATTGAAAGGAGAATTCACTGTATACATTACTCGAAAGTCTTGTTTTAAGGAAGTGAAGTGCTTATAAATGAGATCACTAGACGCTTAATGGGTAACGGATACAACGTGAACATCATAAATCAATGTAAAATAATTAATAAACAGCGATCACCACTTTTACTATGCGTTACTACAGAGGTCATTATTATCAAGCTCTTTCGATCTGACTTTTGTGTTTAAACTCTCGCTGCTAATTGGTTAGACAATTTTATATTATTTGAGAGGAAAACACTGTTATAAAAGACATTTGAAAAACTAATTGACAAATATTTTTGAGCAAAAAAAGCAAATTATCACAGGCCATTTTTAATGAAACAATTTACCTACCTTCAGGTGCACCGAGATGAGCATTCCAAACATTGATTCGACCAACTGATGACCCACCGCCAGTTTGAATGAGATAACGTCCAGTTGGTTCAGAGAAACATAATACTCCCTTTTGATTCGGTAATAAATGATGCAGTTCATCAAGACAAGTGAATTCATCAATTGATGAAAAAGTGACATTTTCAGTTAACCGGCCTAGATATGCAAATGTATTCGCATTTAAAATGAAACTTTGACCTTTTCTATCAAGAATAGCTAACAGTCTGCCACCATTCGGCGAGTAACCAGTGAACAAATAGCAGATGTTGAGACTGCAAGAGACTAGAAAATAAAATGTCAAAAGAGAGAGAGAGAAAAGTAAAGAAAATCAAACAAAAGTAATTGAAAACCATTAAATATAGTAGCACAACATAATAAAATAAATGTTAATTCTCACCTTTATCCAATTCATAGATATGAGACTGTAGAAATGGACAAAACCATCCCAACATCCCACTGCCATAACATCACGTAAACATTCAGAAGGAATAGATTTTTCACTATCCGATGCATAATTCGGTAAACGAAAAGCAATTGAATTAATCGATGATTTGATATTCAGCTTTTTACTAGGTTTAATTTTTTTACAACCAGATGATTTCGACGTAAAATATGACCCAAATCCCAATTCACCAACTTCCCATAAACAAATTAAACAATCTAAACCACCAGTAGCCAAAATACGACGTTTCGGATGCCAAGCAGATACAGTCACAGGTTTGTGATGATATCCACTTAAAGAAGACACTTGGGAACTGATACTAGTTGCTATTCCACATGTAATACTGTTTATCACATTTGATAAATCCCAAATAAGTATACTAGCATCCTGACTAGTACTAACTAGCCATAATTGTGAACTCGGCATACCGTATGGTCTGATCGTAGAACCGTCAGAGGCAAAATCATCAAGAAAACGTAAACTGAGTATTGGCATATTATGTCCAAGAAATGAACATAATATCTAAAAGAAGAAAACAGAAAGTAAAACAAAGAGTTAATGATGAAGTAAGTAGATTCAATAAAATAGGACTTTCAAAAAATTAGATTTATATAGGTTTATACCAATGATAACCATTTCGTTATATTGTTTAAAAAAAATATGAAAAGCGCAAAAACTTACCTTAAATGATTGAACCTCGACAACCGTAACTGTGCCAGACTCAGTCCCATAAGCTAATAAATTACCTGTTCGATCAAGTCCAATTGAGATTGGGATATCTTGGGAACCAGTTAGTGGTGTGACTGGTTTATGAATTGCAATTGGTTGAATAATTTTCGGTAGGATAGATTGAATGTCATTAGTACTTAATTTAATACGGAAAACTTTTTTATATGAGTCACCATTGATTTTCTCTTGATAATTTGAACTAAGTAAACATGCATATCCAATTGTATGAATCCATTCGTCAACATCTTGATTGATAGCCAATTCAGCGAATGAATACGGATGTCTAATAAACAAAAATTAAACTAAACAATGTTACGTTGTTAAAAATAAACAGACTGATTATTTGGGTTGCATTGGGTCTCGCATGTTCAAGTCGTAGTATGAAATGAGAGGAGAGCAGTCACACGACCTCGCACACTCTCTTTAGGTCGATTATCGACTAGTTCACCTACATTACCAGTGGGACTAGTGACTTTACACTCACTAATTGACAAAACGATCAATGAACAACAACTAATACCTTGACAGTTATCAGTTCACAAGTTACTAGTTCTAACCGAGTGGACAACCAGAAAACGAAAACAGAGAGCAGATTTGCTCTGTACTATACTCAGTTCAATTATTACTCCAAATTTATACGATAATATACCTGAAAGGTTTGACCACAGAGCAACACAAATACAAAATTACATAACACATACATAAGTGATACTATACCAGAACGATAGGGGAATAATTAATTAATGATAAATCTGGTACAATAAATTATAAAGCGAATCAAACGAAATAGAAGAGTATAAAAATACAATATTCAAAGCGTCTGCTAATCATACAACAAAAATATAAATAATAAACCATAGTCTCAAAAGTCATACTTCCTCCTTTATTATATCAAACAAGAATGAAATAAAAAACCATCTAGACCAAATGTATAGTGACCCATAATTTACAAGAGGAAAAAACAGTTATTTAATAAATTAAAAGAGAATACATAGAATATGTGATCCATCCAAGTAATACACAACCTGAGCTTTAAAGATTATTAGTTTTGGATACAACTAAATAAACGGAAAGTATTTTGTAAACAGGTTATAACACCAATCTACCCTAACTTTGTATCAAGAAAAAAAGTGTTAATAATTTCGCTTTCAATGTTTATTAAACAAGTTAAGATGATATCAGCTGTGAAAGCCATTGTTATATTGTCAGCAGTAATCGAAACTTACCAACTATCAGATGAGGAAAGATCTAGAAAGTACTCAATCGTTCACTAAATATTATTGATTATCAGGACATTAGTTTACTCTAACATTTTAATTTATTGTTTTATTATTAAATTATATAATAATACTGATTGATAATTACTAAGTATAATATAGAAAACAATCATTTTACAATAATGTACAACTTTAAAATGACCAAAATTACATCACAAACACTAAACATGAAGAATACAGTCGTCACAAGTTGCCGATTAACACTACTCTTCATAAACGGATCCTCATATAATAATAATCGTCCTAATAATAAAAATAATAATAATATAAGCCCTGTTAACGATGTAGAAGCTGGTACTATGAAAGACCAATCTATTCATTCTTCTCGAATCACATTCTTATTCGTTTATCAACCTTGACTGTTTTCATGTGAGTGTATGTGTGTACATTGCTTATCCTACTCCTCACATTTCTGTAGCTTATTTTCGTTTGATTATAAATATCGATTCACGCTTGGTTAAAGGGAGTTGGCTCACACGCAGTTCCTACCGCACTTCGTTTCGTTTCGTTTCGCTCTCCCCACTTCGCTTTCTTCGGTTCGCTCCTTTGATTATCTGTCCAGATCGACGGTTGTGTGGACCATAAGTATTCAAAATTCATTTTCGTATTTGATTTATTTTCGGCTCGTTATTCACTAACGCGATTTCAGTCGATGATTATATACGAAGATTGGCTGTATGAATATTTCAATAACAATTATAATGCGATCCAAATGGAGTCAGATATAGGGCCACAAGAACGGTATTCTCTTAGAATGATCAATAGAACCATTTTCAGAGTTGTTATCATTCAGTGAAATAAAATAATTGTTTTAAATAAATGAATAAATCAACAACTTACTCAATTAAAAATTCATAATTCGATGCAAGAAACCTTTGCATAGTTATAATTTTATCCTTCATAAGATCTAATGAAGTAGGAATATTGTTCGGTTCAGATCGATGATGTGCAGTAGTTGTAACTAATTGATAAAAAAATTATCATAATGATCAGAAAAAGGGTGGTAAATCTCAAGGATAATGATTATTTACTTTGTTTCATACATAATGATAGTACCAATGATAAGACACTAATCTAACAATATTTAAAATGAACATAATTCGGGCTCATACGCGTCGATAAACAGCATACAAATATTTAATTAAGTTCTTTTCCTGAATTTTATCTGTTCCTTTAACTAACTCACTCACTTCATTTCATGTCACTCAAGAAGCGAGAATATATAACCTTTAATCAGTTATTTACATTTTCTTAGCACATATAACTATTAATTCACTTTTGTATTGGTTATTTGAAACTTCCCATTTATGTTTAGGACTGAAATTGATCACACTCTTATTGACATATGTGAATCCTGTGCGGATCGCCTCGATATTGCCTTGAGTCACAAGCATTACAAGGAAAGATGGATAGTGGAATCCAGTTTGACGCGCGTTTCGTCCTATTTGGGACTCGTCAGCTTTGTATATAATGATTAACGAAATTTAAACTATACACCTATAAATTTGTTTTTTTTTCTAGTTGCAAATGACTACAATTATCCTGTAATGGCACTAAAGATGACCTTGAGTGCAATATTACTACATCAATACGATGTCATAGTTTCCTTACGAAGAATTAACCATTCCCAACTGATTTCGCAGTGTTGTAACCCATACATTCCAAAAACAACTTTTTAAATGACACGAATTTGAAAAATTTAAAACCATACATCTGTCATTTACATATAACATTGTTATCTGTATCAACATGATTATGCCTATGAATTGGTATAAGTCCTGTGATTATTTTCAGAATACATAATTTATTTATTTGTCTTTTAAAATGTCAGATGTTTCATTGTATCTTAACAATAGAGGGTAAATTAAACACGTATTCATCAGAGTTCAGCCTGATATCACACTTCACTCTACAACTGCTTCAGAATATCTGCAAACGAATAAACCATATGAGAAAAATGGTACTGTATTACTTATAAATAGATATAATTGCATACAATTCATGGAAAATACGTTGTTAATCCTAAATGGTCGATGAATAAAAACTAAAAAAGACAATATCATTTTTATCACGATATTATAAGAGGAAAACCAATCAAAATTAAAAACCGATTGATGTACTTTGAAATAGAGATAGACGGTGATTAGTAGTGGAAACCACGACTCGTATTTCTTCTTATTAGGAACTCGACAACTGGATGTACCTACCTACATTCGAAAGTTGACGTTTGCTCCAGGACTCGAATCAAATGTCTTTCGCTTCAAACGCCATAGCGTTATCTACTTAGCTACTGACTACAAATGGCCACTTAATCAATTATTCCAATTTAGTTTGAAAGTTTGCAGCAACTATAACCAGCAGCGAGCAACGAATAAGATGTCTTTAAACAGCTAGGTTAAGATTGGCCATGTGCGACTACCCCAATGACTTTACAATAACTGAATCACCCAACATGTGATCGATTTGATAAATAACTGCTTTTACTTATAACACTATAGATAGTTTTCAAATGAAATAAAACCTTGACGAAATTGATCTTAAAGTAATATTTCGTTCGGTGATAGACAATGGAATACAGAATCTACTGAAAGTATTGTTTAGAACATGTTATCTTGATTTAACTGAATCTAAATTTTGATAATTTAACTGGAATTTGAATCCACCACCATTGTTTCTTCAAACGTCAAACGTTTAATAACTAAGCTATTAAGTCCCCCTAGCAATCAATTCAACACACCTAAGACCGAAGAAACCTCCATTAGAACCGAAACAACAATAAAGATACATTTAAATTCAGTTTCACCCAGTTAGCAGTAATGACCAAATGGAAAATAGAGCACTTACTGTATCTATTCATATCGTCTAGCAATGTCAAACCATATCCAGATTCAATCTGATGAATAAGAAACGCTGGACTACTGAGTAAACAAACAACTTCATTTAATCGACCGGCATGATGCTAAAATTAATTTTTACGGAAAAACATACATCTCGGTGATCAATCATTTAGACAGGGTATTCGATATATATATATATATATATATATATATATATATATATATATATATATAATGTTAATACATCCAAAAAACTGAATTGTTAGCGACGAAGTTAAATTACGTCTACAATGAAGCGGCTATTCTTCATCAATGGAGACTGAACGATAGCTACATTATGCGAAAAATCAACTGAAGTTAGAAACGTGAATCTCTGGTTGAGAAGGGTATCTTACTCGGCATAAGACCTAATTTTCACTTCGATCTCGTTTCTGGAGGACTAAGTTCACAATGTTTTTAAGTATTCACAGAGGACTAAACAGTTGTTGAATAATCCACAGAGAAAATTTATACTCGAATTAAAACAGATAAGTAAGAAGTACAGCTCAGATATAATTCTAAAATACACCATTCATCGATTTACAGCAAACTCTATTAAAGTATCAAAAATGATTCAATTTATTTTAAATATAGAAGGAGGGATGATAATAAAACATTCTCAGTATAAGACTGTGGAGATTGTTGAGTTTTTGAATTGAGATCATCAACCAATCAATGTTGGACCACTATTGAAAACCTGGAAGCATTGGATGGCCGTTTCGTTCTAGTATGGAAGTCCTCAGAAGTCGGCATCCACGGTAACGCAGGCAGAATTCGAACCCAGGACTTTCGGTCTCGCGCCCGAACGCTCACTGCTAAGGAGTTCGACACTAAGACGGAACGGTCGTCCAATGCTTCCGGGTTTTCAATGGTGGTCTAATATTGATCAATTCATGGTTCAAATAAAAGATTCATTTATCCAATAATAAATAGGCTAATAATGAACTTACTAAATGATAAATTAAATCTTTCATGTTTCGTAATTTTGAAGCTAAAATATTATGTATAGTTTGAAGAGTCACTGTCTTCAAATGAATTTTATCACCGGGCATACTTTCATCATATTTTGCACGTTTGTTAAAATTCCTCGTTTGATTATTTTTGAAAGTATATTCATATTTTCCATGACCCATAATGTATTTTGATTGATTAAAACATATATCATAGACTAGATTGTGTATTTCACGACTGCTAAATGATAATGCTCTTGATCCAAGATTCCATATAGCAAGCTTTTGTTGTTTTATTGTTTGCAAAGAACCATCAGGCGGTAATTCATTGTCGATTTCATCAATATCAGCTTTTTCATCAATGAAACCAGAGAGTAAAGGATGAAGACCAGTTAATAGGATATACAATAAAAGCGACGGCAAATGTGGTTGTCCTTTAGATAATGTAGGCTTATTTTTATTATTAAATTGATCATTGATCATTCGATAAATAATCTTCTCATTTGATATTATATCATCAAGGTTGTCCAATGGCACTTTTAAATCTTGCCAGCAATCTGTATAACCATTTTTGAACTGTTGTTCCATCCATGATTCAATTAACCATCCATCAATTAAATTATGTAGTTCTTCTGTTGACAATGGTTGACGACAGCAAGTAAGTAGACCAAGTGTAATGCGAGTTAAATCTGATCCACAACTACATTCAACTCGTTTGACAACATCTATCACTAAACTGGATATTGTATCAGGCAGTTGTTTTAATTTTGCATCCAACTATTTAAAAATGGAAATCAAACAATTTAAATTGATAACCATACTTAAAACTATGAATAACAAACGTACGAATACATATAAATCATTTGAGAGGTATTAAAAATTATGTATACATGAATCAGGTTGATGAGAGCCACTTTGTTGATATGTGCTAAAATGAAGTTTTAGTCAATCAATCAATCACCACATACAACCTGGTACGTATGTACACCAGTTTCAGTTGCCATACCCGTTAGCACAGAAGATAAAACTGCCAGGCCAAATCACAGAGTATTAGAGGTAGTAACAGAATATATGGGAATAAAAAAGATTGGGTGTCGAAGATACGATTCAAGCAAAATATAAATGGGTGGAACCAAACACCAAAAAATTATGATTCAGAAGCTCAGAATTGAGTGAAGAAAAAGAATGGATGTGCCTACGCCATTTCAAATTATTTGAGCAATATCGTTCAAGGTCTCTAACCACCGGTTATGATAATTACGCGGTAGTCTACACCTATAGACATGGCTCAGTTCCACGCTCAAAAACTTCGTGGACTAGTAGCTCATTTTTATATGGCCGTCTCTAGCTTTCTTCCAACTTACTCCTACACCAGACAAGATTGTCCGTAGAGGTAAGCGGTTGTTATGCATACGTAACACATATCCCAAACACTTCAGTTGATGAAGATCCACTACATTATCAATTGATTTGTAATCTTTGCCCAGTTCCCTATTCTTAACCCAGGCACTGCTTACTCTGTGTTTCCAGCACAAGAAATACTTCGAAGACACCTATGATCGAATAAGATGTTGCAATTAGCAATATTTATTGGGAAAATTCCATGAATAACTATCCATCAATGCTATAGTTAGCTGTGATATTAAACTAAAGATATCATATAAAAAAGTCAAGTTAAAAGTTAAATGTACAAGATAGGACACTAACCTGTTCATATTTACTGTACAAACGTAATTCATCACAAGCCAATTTCAAATAAAGTGGAATACTTGCTTCTCGTTTTTGAATTAAAACAGATAACTGTGAAGTAGAGAAAACGAACAACAATCAGATTAATAAAACAAATATGTAAACCTTATTTTATTCAAACACTATAATCTACAGTGAAACCAATGAAAACACAATGATTAAACCATCTAGCTCAGATAAAATTACTACACTGAAATGATCCACCTCAGGTACATATATTCACTGCAATTTATAGAAGAAAGCATAAATTCTTTATGTTCAATTGGATATCCGTAATGTAATTCAATTAGCTTTTCATCAAATATAATACTCGTGTATTTGATTTTTTTAGACAAACTTTAGTCGCTTTAAACCTTGTAACACTACCTAACTGATTAGGACTTCTTTAGACAAATAGAATGAGACTCTGACTTGAAAACTAGTGATTGAAAGTTGAGCTCGTTAATTATGAGGTTACTTGAAAAATACATTTCATCATATGACAATTTCTGTCCATTAGAAATAATAAAATGATGTCGCATACATTTGAGATATGAATAGCATGAAAGTTGATAGAGGATATTATTTCACCAATTAGTTTGAGTATTTTAAAATAAGTATTTAGTTAAGTGATACATCGACGTAGTTGTCGCTAAGATTTCTTGTGTTTTAATTATTTATATTATTTATTAACTACAAATATGTCATAGAGCTTCTTATAATCGAAAAGCCATATTTATGGCGAAACTGTAAGCTATGAACGACCTCTGACAATAATACCGAATATTCATCTTCTAACACTAGTGTGAAAAAAGGGTTATTAATAAATGTGAGGAAGTAAGATTAGTATTTAGAGTTAGAAGTTAGTGTTAGGATTTGGAACTATGGTTTTCATCCCGAACTGACATCAATTTTAATGTCAAAATGCTATTTAACCAATTGGATTAATGAATTTTGCGTCCAAACCCATAACGTGTTATCTTTAAATACATTAGTTAATCCATTGACTATAGTCTCATCAAGTATCGACCAAATGAAATTATATCCACGAAAATATAAAAGATTTAACGTTGAATATCTTGAACGTATGAGTAAATCAGTTATTGTTTTGAAACAAAATTGATTTCAGACAAAATAAATCATTGAAACATACCTGATTTCGAAAACCGGATTCACTTAAAACTTTTCCATATTTTCCAAGTAAACTACGAACAGCTGCACCACGTTCGTGTGTAGTTAATCCGGATACAGTTAATAGTTGGCAATCAATTCGATTGCACAAACTACGAGCAATTGATGATTTGGAATCACATGTTAAAACGAATCGAACATTCTGTGAAATAGAATTTTCAAAATTAATCAGAATCATATGGTAACAGGCAGTTTTAAAAATATAACCTTTACGTATTTATTGGCAAATTCGATACATGGCAAATATCCGACACGAAACAATTGCAAAGTTTTAATATATCCGTCCCTATGGATACTGGTAAACGAGGCTAATTCAAACCATAATTATTTGATAAGTAATACTGTAACCTCCAACACAACAGAAGTACACATGAACGACAACATCGAGGATCAAATCCAGAACTTTTAGAACTTGTGGTGACATTGTTTTAAGACCAGTGAGTTGGCGAAAAAACTGTAGATTGTCAAAATTTTATTGTTAGATAATTATGAAACAAATAACATAGAACAAAGAAAAAATACATATATACGTACGCGTACGCGCGCAAATACGCACATAGAGGAAATACTAGAAAGACTTGTTATTAGTGTTTATAACCAAGTCGTTTTTTCTGAAAACTATCATTCAACATGTCATGTATCAGATGTTCGAGTCGAAAATAAATACACATGTCAACTATTGTATAGGTATCCTTTATGTCTATTGTTTCATAATGATAAAACATCTCCCACTCAATGCAGTTTGAACACAAAAAATGAATCGAAAAAAGTCGTTTCTCGCAAATTCAATTAAATGTAATATTTCCAGTTCGGAGCATAATTGACTTAATCCCTTTAATGCTATCCTTCAATTATTACCTCAATCATTTAATTTTTTTGAGACTATCAGTGGAAAGTTTCGTTCGAGATTAATTATGATGTCGCTGTGTCCGAGACTAATACCGATACAGAAAATTCCAATTTCCAAACCCCAAACGGTTACTGAGTGAGAAAACTAAGAATGAAGAAGGAAATTTATTGGGCTAGATAAAATCATATACATATATGTCTACCATCTCTTGGTCAATAACATGCACTTGTTATTTAGAAGATTTTTGATTGATACAATGTGGACTTCGCAATTGGTGGCTTTTGACTGACCCACAACTAATCTCTGACAATGATTATTTGATATGGTATCGCAAATTAGTAAACTATGCTACTGAAAGTCATATCCACCATAAAAGGCTGTTTGCACAAATTATCAGGAAGACTTAGATAAGCTGATAAGAGACTACCGAGATTCCTTAGCCATGAGAAATATAACTACATAATACATAGACGATACATTTTCTAATCATCTTGATATTCTACACAATTAAATTTACATGATTAAATTTTATTAAAATTTTGAAATTTTAAATGCTGTAAGCTTGAGAACGATCGGCAGAGGTATGCACTTTGAAAAAATGTGACAAAATTATAATTAACTTGATCGAACAAGACTTATCTCAAGTTCATCGTGGAAGTGTTTGAAAAATAGAACTGAGCAATCTATTTACTTGTCTTCTGAAGATGAAACAGAAAAAATAAATAATCTTCGGTTACAATCATTGCAATAACGATGGTTAAAACACGTTTATGATTAGACAGAAAAAATCACTTAGCAAACAGTACCCGTTAGGTCCTATGACTCTGTCAATTATCACATGAAAAAATCGCTAATCTGAATATCGAGCTTTGTGACTTGCTCCTGTAATAAACCAATGATGCGTAAATCAACACTAACAGCCTTGAGTTAACTCTGAGTGCTTACAGGTCCACTGTAGGTAACCTATCTCCTAGCCCAGCCCGTTCTGTCCAGAACACAAACATCGGCTTCCGCTGACATAATAGTAAATTATTAGGAAATATTTACAATACAACACATGAAACCTAACACTTACAAAATTAGGATAAATTTTAAGCCACGATCAACATGAAAACAATCTAACTGAATCAATTACCTTGGGTAAAATTTGTGGTAACCATTCTAAGGTCATTGGTTCCAACTGATCACAGTCATCAATTAAAAAGGCAAATTGTATATCATTTAAGTAACCAATAAATTGTATGAAACGTGCAAAGCACTGAATATTGAATCTATAGTAGAAATATAATAATAATAATATGCTTGACAAGTTAGTTAATTAATAAATCACCAAATTATAATTTGGATAGACGAAATTTGTTTAAACTCGTTCAATCTCAGGAGTATTTACATTTGATGATAAACAACAGGTGAGAAATCATGAAACCATATATACTTCTATATTGTATTCTCAGTTTAAACTCCTTACCAATTCACATTGTATTGAATAGAATCCATATACATTAATAATATTCATATATTTGTGCTAGTTTTAACATGAATTTCCGAATCTCATATGAGAAACTATAACATGCCATTTTAAACGTTATTGTTTTAATGATGTAAAAAGTGTATTTTTTTTACATCAAAAGCTAACTGAATTCGAACCAATAGTCCATTGAACTCTAATTTAATAATCTTAATCTTTTTACAGTTATTTCGATAATTCTCTACCAGAATACGTAGTATCAGCACGTTCTGTTGATTCATTCAAAGCGAGATCGGAGCCCCACAGTGTTACAAACTGCAAGGATTATTACAGGTCGATAGACCTCCTATCCTTACTAGTGAAGACTGAGATATGAAAATCTAGTATGAAAACATTGATGTGAACTATTAACATTTTTTTTAAGCAAACAACTCAGACAACAATTATCAATCATAACTGAGATCAGGAACCGACAAATGTTAGACCAGCGTTGAAAACCTTGAAGCACTGGACGAACGTTCCGTCATACTATGGGACTGTCCAGTAGAGCAAATCCACGATCCCTCATGCACGACTCCAACCCAGTACTAGAACTCCGAGAATTGCCTCAGGAAGCTCGTCACTAGTTAGCATATGATAATTGTTCCATTGTGTCAGGTGTAAGGTGGTTACTAACGAAGACAATGGAGGATGGTCGCTCAGTATTGTAGATTGATTGAATCTAGACACTAAAACTGCAGGATCCAGGCACAGTGGTCTAGAGGTTAAGGGTTCGTGCGAGACAGAAGGCCCTGATTCGAACCTGCATGAGGGATAGTGGATGAGCATTGCTGAGAGAGAATTCAGAAAATGAAATAATCAAAATCATGATTGAATTATACTACTTACTTTAAATTATATTAGAAGAGATTTTATTCACACTAAAAGATGATTTCATTTCATTAAATAATTTTCTAAGAATATCATTACTATTACAGATATTATCAAGTTGAATAGTTAATAGATTTAACCAATTTTGAAGTATTTCATTCAATTTTCTATTCGATGGTAAACCAGATATTGACAAACCATTACAGAAATGTATAAATATTTGATGTTTAGCAAATATTGGACGTTGTTTTGAAATAAATTTAGAATTTTCCATTGAATTCATTAATTGTTCACTTGAATGTAATTTAGAATTAAACTTTTTTGTATTGTGTTATTCATTGAAAATGATCTATGCCAATCGGATTCTATCAGTGATATTGCTAAAGCTGACAAATAGGTAGTTTTCCCACTACCATTCGGTCCAACAATTAAAAGGATACCACCATCACAACCTTGAAGCAAATGATTTTTTTTCAACAAAAAAAAGAAAATGGATTGAAATCGTGTGAATTTCGGCTTAAAACAATAAAGTTCTGTTGAATGAAATGGTCATTCATTTAACCCGGTATTCTCGCATTTAAAGCGATTCAATATTGACAGTGGAAATCATTGATAATAAACAGCTATTGTGTTAGAATATGGTGAATTGAAAATGTACACTATTATTAGGTTTATAGCTCAGTGTGTAGTTTGAAAGTTATTTAATTGTTAGGAAACTTGAACGTCTTAAATCTGAGTGCTGATAGAGTAATACTAAGTAACCTATATTAAACAGACGTCTTTTGGTAGCATTGTATCTGACTCCAATTATATCGTATAATGATGATTGCCGCCCACCGTCATATATAATTATCGACTTAAATAGCGTTAGTGAATAACGGATTAAGAATAGATCAAATACGAGAATGAAGTTTGTGTACGTATATTTCGTACACTCGTTGATCTAAACAAACAATCACGGAAACGAAAAGAAATGACACACAGTGGAGAAGGCGAGTAAGCCAACTCGATTTAATCAAGCGTGACTCAGACCAAAAATAATTTACATACACGTAATGAGTAGTGAAAACAATTAACACATAAACGATATAAAAACAGTCAGGGTTAGTAAGCGAAGAATAAATAAATTGGTCTGTCCAGAAGCCATTTAACACAAACTAATTTCCGAAAACATACTTTAAAAAAAAGAAAATACTTCAACATTTGTCCATTATAGTAAGCAACACCAAAATTACATGCACGCCTTGCATAAGTTCTTATATATTAGGTGATCTTTGAATTATCAGAAAGGGGGTTTTGTGGAAATTGTAGTAATTTCATTGTTGAATACATGAGTCGATTAAAGTTAGACCATCCCTTTCTGATAACAATCATCATGTGCTTACTAGTGACTGACTTCAACAGGTACTTCCTGGAGTTCTAGTGAGAAGACGTGACCAGGAGTACAACCGAGTCTGTTGTGTGATAGTAACTCACTGAAGACAATGGTGGACGATGGCGCAATTTTGGGGATCAGTTGAATTTAAACATCAATGCCGATGGATGCTGGCCCAGTGGTCTAGAGGATAAGGGTTCGCGCGCGAGACTGAAGGTCCTGGGTTCGAATCCTGTGAGCGGGACTGTGGATGAGCACCGTTAGGGAGTTCAATGCTAGGAAACAGGCTAGTGAACATCGTCTTATCGACAGGTGTTCACTTATTTATTTAAACACATAAATATTGATACAAGGAGGCACCAAATATATATGTGACACACAAATCATTCGATTTGTGTGAGGCCTGGCATACTGTCCGGGTACCCAAAATGAAACACGTGGTTTTCGTAATAGAAAGCTCCCCAAGGCTTTCATCTGAAGGTCTACTTCATAAAGCAACTTTAGGAGATGCAGTCCCATGGTAGCGGGTGACCAATAATAGGTCCATTTCTTCCTTCAGAATACTGAAGCTCATCTGCACCACTGGTTTGAAATCAGGGTTTTCCATATTCACCAAACCAGTTAAAACACCGGACACTCGCTTTTCATCCTTTCAATTTCATAAGCAACACCCCCACCATGGTAAGTCAGTGAGTAGGACTTCCCTAGTACAGACTGTATACGCGTCGCCGTGTGAGATCATTTCGAGAGAGAGGGCTGACTCTCCCCACTCTCGTCCGTACCAAAGTATTTAGGTGGCTATTATCGAAAACTTCAAGTATCCTTAAGCCCTTCATCAACCTCGAAAAAAATGACTTTAAATTGACCAGTCAGATTTTAAGTACCAAATAATCAAATTCAAAATCATTTCGTTTGATGGGTTTCTTTTTTTAGAAAAAAAAATTACCTTGAAGATTTATCGAATAGCTTGGATTGTTTTGTACACTTAATTTCTTTTCAGTTGATTGAATTGCACGAGCCAGATGAACTCGATGACCACGTTCAGTTAATGCATTAAAAGCTTGTTCTACTTCCAGTAGATGACGTGGTCCAATTGCACACGCAGCTGAATAAACATATTCTCGTAAGAATTCAATAGTATTCAATGACTTATTAACAGTTATAGGCAAATTATTATCACTATTATATACCTGAAAAAACTATATAATAAAATGAGAAATAAAAAATGCATATTGAGAAATAAGAGCTAAATTTAACTAATATACCATGTGATTTAAAAAATATTGAAAGATACAAACTCATACACATATATATAGGACTTGGAAAGTTTGATATCAACAAAAATCCGTTTGCTTCCCGTTAGTTTGAGTCCATATGAACAAAGTGAGGGTATTTAAATGGATTATTAATTTGACAGTAAGTGAATATTTATATAGTTTAAAAGAAAACTACTGCTGACTAAACGAAAACATAACATTAGTACATATATATCAAGTTAATCACTGTTGAAACCGGTCGTGTCATCAGATGGAAGCGTTCAGTTTGATGTTCATGAAATAATTTCAATCTATAGTTAGTGCTACGTTTGGAGAGATTACGAGATCACCTAAATCGGCAAACGGAACGAAGGCTCAGCGTCACATTGGCAAGATAAGCTAACTATTCCGATGCGTCCCAGACCAACTAACTAGAGGTAAAAGTCCAGGTTCAGATGAGGGAAAGTATATTCCACAACTCAAGCGTATATTAACAGGATAAAAATGTCTTTAGGAAACGTCCCAAAATAACATACTAAAAGAGACAACGAACCAATGACATTTAGGATCCTTGCAAATGGGAAAAATAATCTGAAGGTAAGAATGAGCGCTTCTGGCGCGAAAATAAGAAATTCGAATTTCCAAAATTACAAAGTCTTGACGTTTACCAAGTGAATTCTAGGGATCTAGCATCCCCAAGAGTTACAAACCATAGATGATATATGGTTCAAAATCGGTCATGAAATAGCAGATAAATTTGCCATTCCTTCGAATTTTCAGTCCTAAAATTAATTTTGAGTAAATGAACTTTGATCTCATTATTCAGTTGTATTAATGCATCAATACATAATAAACACCATTACCACATGCAAATCTGGTGGATGGGATAACATGCTTATGTGTATAATTGATTATAATTGATTATAATAAAACAGAAACTTACTGGAGTACTATCACTATCATTATGAAATAGACGTAGAAGTAAAGATTTAACTGTTGTAAAAAATTGACTTCCGAATTCATCTAAATTTCCCATTATTGGATAATTATTTATTAAACCATTGAATTGAGCTGAATAACTAAATCGTGAAATACACACAAATAACAAGTAATTCTCAGTAATAAAAAATATAAAGATAATGAAAATAAGTTAAACTGAGGTAAACGGAGAAAAACAAATCATTCAAGTCGGTCTACTATAGTTAGACAATGAATGTTTAAAATAAAGGATTACTAAATAAAAATTTTCTTCGAATTAACTAAATTGTAGCTTGAACAAAAGATTATGTTCGGTACTAAGGACTAAATAACATGACAGTGGTTATGAATTAATGATAAACTAATACAGATATCTCACTCACACAGGTAGTTAATTGTAGCTCAGTGGATAACATTTCGGTGTCATTGGATGGTGCGGATTCGAACACTACAAGATACACGAGTAATATAAATTTTCTTTAACTAACTAATGGCAATGGATAAGAAATCTATGTTCATAAATTCATAGTTGTCACGGTTGTTTCCTTTGTACTATTTAAACTTGTGTTAATTTAATTTCGATCATTCATTTACTCTGAAAAATTGGCTTACGTTAAGTTACGAAACGTCAGAAATACAATTTTTCTACTTATTGGAATATAACAAAATAAAGTTTATTTTTAGTATTAACTGTCCAACCAATGCTCAATTTATTTGGAACCATCAAGCCCTACCTTGGCATTGATACCTAATTCACGTTTTTTTGTTGTTATTCCTTTCACAGAAATACAATCTAGATTGATTTATGTGTAAAACATAATTTTTAAAAATAAAAGACTTTGGTAAATTGCAAATACCTGTTAATAGAATTACAGAATGAGCGATAGTAATTATGAAAGTGAATTGATAGGTAAAGATGTAATACCAGTTCATCGTAATTTGTTATGTATTAAGCTTTAGGTAAGCATTTAGTACAAGAGCTATAAAAAAGGGAGTCTAAACTGGATTAAGTAGAGTTCAAACTTGCAACCAATAAGTTGAAAACAAAGCACTTAATCTAATAAGCCACCTACTTAAACACATTAGTGAATGCAATAGATTGACTTACTTATGACCAACAATAACACCATCATTACGAATTAATTCTTTGAAGGCGTTAAGACGATTACGTTTTTCAACATCATACTCTTCAAAACAATCTTTCAATTCATCTGGTACATTTCTAAAAATAGAAATTCGTAAATGTATCAGTTTAAAACAATGTTTCTACACAATTATCTTTGAAATATCAGTAGGTTCAGGAACATACACGTGAAATTGACCAGATATGTCAAATGCTCATGAAGTTCTATATTTGAAGAAATTACGAATTCACCTAATCTGAAAACGGAACGAAGACTCTGTCACAAAATGACCAATAAGCGACACAGCCCCGCTAACTAGAGACAGAAGTCCACGTTCGAAGATGGAAATGTGTTCCACAAACAGCCAGAACCACGAACAACCACGACAAGTCTAATCGGAAATACACTCATCTATATGTTGGTTGTACACCCATTTTGATTAACAATTAGGATGAAATCACATACATGAAAAATACTTACTGTTATAACAAATTATATGCTGAGTATAGTTTATGTCAATTGAATACAAGAATATCGTATGTTATACAGAATAAAAAGGTCATATGGGAAAACTCAACCGAATACTACACTGAATAATCATCACATTGAATTAAAACGGAAATAATGTTGAACCAAGAATCATAATGAGGAAATCAATCTAATTTTGACTTTTCTTCCTATCATATCATGAAGATAGGGAAATATTGGATTGTATATTTTATATGTTATATTTAAAATACATTCTTAAATAGATTCATCATGATCTTATCGGCAATTACTTCATTTTTCTGATATGGAAAAAACGAACTTCAGAACCAACTAACTGTTGAAATATATGGTCTTCTTTCATGTACTGTATTCAACAGTTATCTGATGTTAAAGTATGAAACTTGTGTGGAATGCAAAATAACGAACCTATATTTTTTAAGGAAAAAAAAAACACATCATCGCCATCATCTTATGCAAATTAGTCAAAACGACATGTAAAACCAGGACTTACTCTATAGATGCTGAATCTCTAATGAAAACACAAATTCGAAGACGTATTGCCTCATGAAAACTTACTGTATTCTGCTGTCGTCTTTCATGAATAGGGACTTTAGATATGGCGGCATGTCTAGCCATATGATACTCCATTTCAGTCATAGACATTCCAGGTTTATAAAATTTACACACTTCAGATAATAATGATTCAGGTAATGACATAACTACAGCTTCGTCTGGTATACAACCATAACTGGAAAATAAAATGAAGAAAAGTATGAGTTCATGTAGAGTTAAAATCTAGTCAAGACAACAGAGTACATCTCTGAATGGCATTCGAAATATTCTATTCAACTAATCTCTCAAAATTCCCATAACTTTCTAAAAGGATGATCAAAATATAATCATCAATACTTGTTAGCAATGAACTAATATATCCTAACATCTATAAATAATATCTAATATAAACTGTTAAGTGAGTTGTCAAATATATATATACCACTATTGCAAAGCAAATATAACTCACATTCTGGTAAACAACACTGAAGGCAACTACATGAGTTACTCTTTTTTAGTTATCACATAGAACGATTCCTGAGGCATCAACTACAGTCACGAGTTACGAAAACATATCTGACAGAAATGACTGTGAATATGTTTCATGATATTTCGGTATCGAATATAATAACCAATCAATCATAAATCACTAATATTGTTAAACTATAAAACCATAGGCTTCAATATATAAAGAGTTGACAAAAGTATTAGTTATGATTAACATTCATTAGAAAAGATTAATGAATATTTCACAAATATTTAATAAACCATTTGATGCTGGGTCAGTAGTTTAGATTTTTCAAGCGTTTTTGAGTGAGACCGATGGCCCTGAGTTCGGTTCTCAGTTGAGGGTCGTGGTTACCCACTACTGGAAAGTCTCATGCTAGAATAGAATGACACTGTAGTGCTCTCAAGTCTTCAGTAGTTGTCAAACTTAGATCATTTTCTAATTACAATAAAATATTTATTAATTATAAACAGATATGGATGGTGGCTAGCGGTGGAATGCACAACATGCGTTTCGTCTTATTTAAGACTCGCCATCTGGATATACCTGTATCCCAGAGTTGAAGTTCACTCTGAGACTCGAACCCAGTACCACTCGCCTCAAAAGCCAACGCGTTATCCACTTAGGTAATGTCGAGGCAATCCGCACAGAATGCACATATGCCAATAAGAGACTGATCATTCACAGTCCTAAACATGAATGGGAAGATTCAAATAACAAATACAAAAAATGAATTATTTAATAGTTATACAGAAAAAATGACAAAAAAGAACATGAAAGTATTACCGATCGCCCAATAACAGAACAAAAATATCACTAGCAGCCGCTTGTTCTAAACATATCTGTAGTGCTTGTGAATTGTATGTAGCTGGTTCAGGAACACCCCAACGTAAATCGATTTCATTTAAATGTACACGTAAACCTAATGCAACATTCCTACGTAAAGCAGGTACAAGTATACCACATAATAGATCACGTTCAGCGTGCATATCACGAAATGTAGATGAAATAAACAACTGACAACATTTCCATCTAAATGATAACAATGGAAAAATGAGATACATTGATGAATTCTTGAAGACAGAGAGACAGTAAACAATATAAGTGTTCTTTTTTGGAAAAGTATTACATTCGACAGTAGGTAATGTATTAATGCAACTCCAAAACTAAGATTACATTGAGGTAAAGATAATAAAGGTTGTCGAAAAGAAATCGTCAACAGTTCAAACAGATCAAGAGAGGGTTTTACAAAGCCGAATGAAATAAATAGTTCTAAGTATTACATACACAGCTCAATTGCAAAGATAAGAAGATCAGTAACTCATTATTAGGTAGGATACCCTTGTACCGTTTAACGAAAAGATACGTGCCTAAAAAACAATTTGTTTAGGTAGAATTATGATTTTTTCCGAAATACTAATATTGATTCGTTAGATATCGGAATAAGATTGATGTAGTCTAAATTGTCATATGTTGAAGGAGTCCCAAATATTCCTCTCGTCAAGTCCTTGAAGGCCCAGAGATGTCAAGAAACTTTATATTCAACGAGCTTTTTATAGAATCTTCCTACAAACATCTAGAAAATACAGAATCAAGCGTCATAGTTTTGATTTGGATATTTACTTGTACTGCTACTATACTTAATATGGTCCCGGAAATTTCCAGAAGCCCAAGATCAAGATTTTTCTGAATATAAATCAATCAAGCATTATTCGCATTTTGCGCATTCTTTCTAGTTTTCCAGTTGATGTGCAGAAGCAGTTGGGGATATCATAACCTGGTATGAAAGCAGTTTAAACGTATCGGTAGCAAGAATTAATAATTGACGATGAGAAAATCACTACCTTTGAACAATCAGAAACTTACTTGGAGCTCTAGGAGAAACGACTTGAATAGTCTCAAATAAAAATCATGGTAGCTCTCATGCAGACATGTATACCCTAGCAAAATCCCACATCTAATGAGGCGCAAATAACAAATACTAATTCTGTCATTAATGACATTTATAAATTTTTAGTTTGATAGTCTAGCTCACATTAATTTTGACTCATATTTTAACAAATATGAGGACCTGTTCCGTATTGATCTTAGGAGACTGAATCACGCTACAAAAGTCAAAATACTTAGAACAATAGAACATGAGCACTATAGTAACTTTATTCTTTCAAACAATCCACGTGAATTTACTTTTGATCGTTGTAAAGTTTTATAGGTTCACATCAATGAAAAATTCAGAACATCGACAAAAAAAGCTTGCTGTTGTATTACTCTAATGATTCTGTGTCATGGAAAAATGATCTATCTCCAAACGATCATATAAACTTTAGATCAAATTATTTTAAAAGTAAAAAAGTACTTACCCTGATCTAAAGTAATCACGTTTCGATAATATACTATTATCAGGATTTTCTTGTATTTTTGTTTTTAAATTAAAGTGATGTGAAATATTCTTATTTAATCCATAGACTTCATCCATTTTCTCAATACGTTCAAGCAATTTATCTTCATTTGGTTCAGCAATATAACGTAGAATTTGATCTGTACACCCTTTGAATTCAATCCAACCATCTTTACTACATGATTTTGGCCTTTTTAAAAATAAATAAATAAAAACAAGACAAAAATTACAAACTCATTCATATCATTTATTCACACTAGTGTTATTATAGCAAGTGAAAGATACAACTTTGTCGTAAATATAAATAAGTTCATGAAATTTTAGACTATATTAAATTGAACTCGTATTGTACTCAATACATTCAGTTTGTTTAATCCCTTTAGTCATAAAACCTAATGATACAGAGAGTAATAGCTTATTTTGTATTGTTTGTGTTGTATCTTCCCATTGATGTTTAGGATAGTAATTGATCAATCTCTTATTGGTATAGGTTCATCCTGTGCGGATTGCCTGAATATTGCTTTAAATTACAAGCATTATGGGCAAATATGGATAGTGGCTAGCAGTGGAATGTACAACGTGTGTTTCATCCTATTTAGGACTATTCCATTCAGCAACTGAGCCCTGATAGCTAAGTGGATAACGGGATGACGTTTGAAGTGAATGGTACATGGTTCGAGTTCCAGAGTGAACATTAACTCTGGGATGCAGGTACACCCAGCTGACGAGTCCCAGATAAGACAAAACGCATGTCTCGGTTTCCACTGTTAATTGAAATGAGAAAGACATATGGAACTGAATTTTTTCCAATCGTATTTAATATCTTAGGAAGGATCGTAGATCCTTAATTGTATAATATTGCAAATATATGTTCGCACAGTAAGCTATCAAATTATTATTGTTAAATATAACTCAGTTTAATTCAAACAAATTTGATTGTTAATCAAACTATAAATAAATCTTATAAAAGGTGGTGTATTCCCAGATCATTTTGATTTATTCTAGGATTCAAATAAATATTTATCACAAGTTTCCACACCCTCTCTCTTGTGTTCAAGTTGCCGTGTAGCTTTAGTTTAAGGTTATTATAAGCGGTCAGAAAGTCGAATGGAGCGTTCATTTGACAAAACTTATCGTCTAGATAGCAGTCCATGTACACTATTTGTTGAATAAAACCATGAGTAGTATCTAAGACAGTGACATTCAACGAAAATAAAACCAATACTGTAGAAGAATAAGTATTAATTGAATTCGCCAATAGACCGTTGGAGTGTTGAACGTTTAGGATAACGTATTGTTATTTATTTGAGTTAAATAAGTGAGTCCCAGCTAAGTTCCCTTTAACGGCCACTATATGGCTTCATTGCTGAAATCATGAAATTGCATTACAAAGCAACCCTTAACTTAAAATACTTAAGGCAAAAGAATAAGAACACCCTGTACCAGAAATTGGAGGCAGACATCGAAGTTATGATTAACACTTGGAAACAACTGAAAAGGAGACCCCGCAACAGTGGGTTGGAGAATCCTGATCGGTAGCCTATGCTCTACGAGGGGTAACAGGACTAAGTAAGTAGATAAGATGTTTTCAGTAATCAAATAATTATCAATAGTGAAACGTTTTAGTTATGTGTAAACATTAGGTACTTCGGACACATATTTGTTTATGGATGGATCAAATTAGCCCGTTATTTATATGTGATGGTATTCTGCACAATCTAAACATCCTGGAAAATTCATTTAAGCAGTTAAAAATGCATTAGATTTTGTTACAATAATGGAAAGCTAGACAGTTTCAGGTGTATTTATTGTTATTAAAGTTTGAGACAAGAACATTTCACCAAATTTAGGAGTGTCAAAAATCGGATGACTAGCTAAAGTCAAGTTTATTAAAAAACAGTTCCATATATGCTCAACCACAACAAAAATGATCACCATAACTAAAGTATATTAGAATTTTATAGCTATTAGATTAGAGGACTCCTTCAGACATTGTTCGCAATCAGTAGAACCAATATAACAACGTAACAGTAAAACTAGACGCGAAGAGAAAACCGATTCTCGATGAGGATGTGAACCAGCATTAACTCATATGAGTGAGACGTTTTGTCTGTACTGAGATACTGACTAAAATAAAAAACAGGATGCTGATAAACAGAAGAGTAATTCGGAAAGAGGACATGGGCAAGAAGGTGCTGTGAATTAGGACTTGATAAGTAAAACCACTTGTTAAATATCCTAGGTAAAGAGGATTGAAAACCTATGACAATGATCTAAATGTTTTCATACATTATCATTTCGGTTGATTTTAAGCATATTATTATTCATGTTGAGTTTACCTCCGATACATTTGTACATTTTTATTCTCTGAAGAGGTGATTTGCACTAAGTCACGAAACGTCAGAAAATGTAATTTTCTACTCTTTGGGATATTACAAATATATTATTTTTTTCTTTTAATTCTTGGTGATGGCATCCAAATGCCCTGATAAATTTGACGGTAGAGAGATCCCACTCCCCCTCTCCACATGGTCACACATTTATAGTATCTGACACAAATGTCCCACTCACTACCTACATGTGTAAGGGATGTTCCTCGCCAAAGTGAGGTAAAAAATAAAACGTCTGAGCTTGAAGTATTAGGCTGGATACATAGGATTCATCTAGAGAAGTTAACAAACCCTGAGATTCCAAACAAATAGTTTACACGAGTCCCATGATTATGAGGGAACGAATAATATACTAATTTATTATGATTCTCAGATACCACGGAACATTAACGCTTGATGTCACGCCATTACCTTTCAGGTTAAATCTTTGGGTCAAAAGCTCGACAACCTGCTAGATCCCCAGAACTCGCTTGATAAACGTCAAGATTTTGTAATTTTTTAATTTTGGAAATTCGAATTTCTTATTTTCACGCCAGAAGCGCTCATTCTTACTTTCAGATTATTTTTCCCATTTGCAAGGATCCTAAATGTCATTGGTTCGTTGTCTCTTTTAGTATGTTATTTTGTGACGTTTCCCAAAGACATTTTTATGCTGTATATATACGCTTAAGTTGTGGAATATACTTTCCCTCATCTGAACCTGGACTTTTACCTCTAGTTAGTTGGTCTGGGACGCATCGGAATAGTTAGCTTATCTTGCCAATGTGACGCTGAGCCTTCGTTCCGTTTGCCGATTTAGGTGATCTCGTAACTTCTTCAAACACAGCACTAAGAAAACCACCGGTTTCACTTTGGGGCCTGAGAAGTTTCTCAGCGTACACATAAAAATTATGAATTCTATGGTGTATGTTACTTTTTATACCCAGTTGTACCATGTTTTATGGGAATGAAATGAATAAATAATGAAGGAATTCACTGTTAAACAAGGTTATTCACAATTGTACACGTGTTTTAAAGGTCAATGATAAAAATACTTATCTCATGAAATTACAATAACTAACTACGTAAATCAAATACCAAGTAATGAATACTTACCATATGTCTTCACCACTCAAATTTCCCCAGATTGCTTTCAATGGCCCAACGTATGTCCGATAATTTATAACATAATCAACAATTTCCTTATGACAATCGCCAAAGATAACAATTTTATCAAACTGAAACAAAAAAATCCGCAAACCATTAACCAATATATAACATTTAGGTAAACAAAATACACACTACACATGATCTTAGCTCAGAGAGCCGAGATTCCGTCTGGAGTCCCTCCGGGGGCTACTGCCGGTCCCAATCCCGGATAAAGGAGGAGGGTTGGGCATGGGGTTAGCGTCCCCATCCCATAGAAAACTAACTCGCTAAAAAAGCTAACCAGAAAAAATTATTCAAACCTTTTAAACTCTGGTCTGGGAGTCAGAAGGTCTTCATTTAGAAGAATTATGACGCCTCATGATGAAAGCCGAATTCGTTCGGAAGTTACGAGGCCGATGCCCCTTCTGACAACCAGAGCGACCATTTATTTAGGTACATGGAATGCTCTTACAATGTGGGACACCGGGAGAGCCTTCCAAATTGCTGCAGAAAGGAGAAGATACAACCTAGAGGTACTAGGGATCAGTGAAACACATTGGACGAAAGTTGGACAACAACGACTAGCTTCAGGGTAGCTTCTGTTATACTCCGGCCATGAAGAAGAAAATGCACCACATACACAAGGAGTTGCATTGATGCTGTCTAAGCAAGCGCGAAATGCACTTATAGGATGGGAATCTCATTGACCAAGGATCATCAAAGCCTCGTTCAAAACAAAGAAAGAGGGCATTTCAATGAGCATCATCCAATGCTATGCGCCTACCAACGACTACAATGAAGACGCTAAAGATCAATTCTACAATAGGCTGCAGTCAATCATCGAGAAGTGCCCAACAAAGGACCTGACCATTCTGATGGGAGATTTCAATGCCAAGGTTGGAATGGACAACACTGGATATGAAGACATCATGGGACGACACGGACTGGGAGAAAGAAACGAAAATGGTGAGAGATTTGCAAATCTATGTGCCTTCAATAAACTGGTCATAGGCGGAACTGTATTCCCACATAAGCGCATTCACAAAGCCACATGGACTTCACCGGATCACATTACACAAAAACAAATCGACCATATCTGCATCAACAAAAAGTTCAGGAGGACGATGGAAAACGTGAGAACCAAGAGAGGAGCTGATATAGCATCAGATCATCACTTGCTGGTTGCCAAGATGAAATTGAAACTCAAGAAGCACTGGACAACGGGGTGGACAACATCACGAAAGTTCAATACGGCCTTTCTTCAGGATACTGACAAACCCAACGAATTCAAGATAGTCCTCAGCAATAAGTTCCAGGCCTTTCATGATCTACTCAATGGTGAAGGAACTACTATGGAGAACAACTGGAAGGGAATCAAAGAGGCAATCACTTCAACATGTCATGAGGTCCTGGGCCACAAGAAGCACCATCACAAGGAATGGATCACTGTTGATACACTGGATAAGACTCAAGAAAAAGGAACAGGGAGGCAGCAATCAATACCAGTCGAACAAGAGCAGAAAAAGCCAAGGCACAAGGTGAATACACAGAAGTAAACAAGCAAATGAACAGGAGCATCAGAACTGACAAACGTAAATATGTGGAAGATTTAGCAACGACGGCGGAAAAGGCTGCAAGAGAAGGAAACATGAGACAACTGTATGACACGACAAAGAAACTCTCTGGAAATCGCCGCAAACCAGAACGACCAGTGAAAAGCAAGGAAGGCGAGGTAATCACCAACGTTGAAGAACAAGGAAACAGGTGGGTAGAACACTTCAAAGAATTCTTGAATCGACCAGCTCCACTGAAACCACCCAATATCGAAGCAGCACCCACGAACCTCCCAATCAATTTGGGCCCACCAACAATTGAAGAAATCAGCATGACCATCAGACAAATCAAGAGTAGCAAAGCAGCAGAACCAGACAACATTCCAGCAAAAGCATTGAAAGCAGACGTAGCGGCAAGCGCAAGGATATTCCACATTCTCTTCAATAAGATTTGGGATGAAGAACAAGTACCAACAAACGGGAAAGAAGGACTTCTGATCAAAATACTAAGGAAAGGTGATCTTATCAAATGTGATAACTACAGGGGCATCACTCTTCTCTCAATACCAGGAAAAGTCTTCAACAGGGTATTGTTAAACAGGATGAAGGACCCCGTAGACGCCCAACTTCGTGACCAACAGGCAGGATTCCGTAAGAATAGATCGTGTACAGACCAAATCACAACTCTACAGATCATTGTGGAACAATCAATTGAATGGAATTCATCACTCTACATCAACTTCATTGATCACGAAAAAGCATTTGACAGCGTGGACGAAACAACACTATGGAAGCTTCTTCGAAACCACGGCGTGCCTCAGAAGATAGTCAATATCATACAGAATTTCTATGATGGATTACACTGCAAAATTGTGCATGGAGGGCAGTTGACAAAGTCGTTCGAAATAAAGACCGGTGTCAGACAAGGTTGCTTACTCTCACCTTTTCTCTTTCTCCTGGTGATCGACTGGATCATGTAGACGTCAACATCTGTGGGGAAACATGGGATACATTGGACAGCTAGGATGAAGCTAGACGATCTAGACTTTGCAGATGATCTGGCCCTTCTATCGTACACACAACAACAAATGCAGGAGAAAACGACCAATGTAGCGGCAGCCTCAGCAGCAGTAGGTCTCAATATACACAAAGGGAAAAGCAAGATTTACCGATACAACACAGTATGCACCAATACAATCAAAATTGACGGAGAAGATTTGGAAGATGTAAAAACCTTATATTTTTGGGCAGCATCATTGATGAACATGGTGGGTCTGATGCAGATGTGAAGGCGCGGATCGGCAAAGCAAGAGCAGCATATTTATAACCGAGGAACATTTGCAACTCAAAGCAACTGTCAACCAACACAAAGGTTAGATTTTTCAATACAAATGTCAAGACAGTTCTACTGTATGGGGCAGAAACCTGGATAACTACGAAAACGATCATCCAGAAAATACAGGTGTTTATTAACAATTGTCTACGCAAAATACTTCAGATCCATTGGCCGGACACTATTAGCAACAACGTACTGTGAGAGAGAACAAACCAGATCCCAGCGGAGAAAGAAATCAGAAAGAAGCGCTGGAAGTGGATAGGACACACATTGAGGAAAGCACCTAACTGCGTCACAAGACAAGCCCTCACATGGAATCCTGAAGGTCAGAGGAAAAGAGGAAGACCAAAGGACACATTATGCCGGGAAATGGAAATAGACATGAGAAAAATGAACAGGAATTGGATGGAACTAGAAAAGAAGGACCAGGACAGAGTGAGTTGGAGAATGCTGGTCGGCGGTCTATGCTCCATTAAGAGTAACAGGCGTAATTAAGTAAACAAAATACCGATTTTTGAAAAGGAGTATAAATCTAACGAAAAATCAAGGTATGCAAATAAAATCTTCAAATATTTGCATGTGAAATGTATGATAATCAACGGACGCATACAAATAAAAATTGATGAAGAATAATCAATTGAAAATAGATAGAAACTATAATGAAGATTCATTTACGACGGTAAAAGTAACAAATCTATGGTAGTGTAGAATGAGAACAACTGATTTAAATCGATAAAGAAATAATGCTGAATAGAGATTTAAATGCATAGCTTCAAAAATTTAGGATTGAACATTCAACTAATTAGAATAAAAATCCTCATAGAATATTCAAAAGTAAAGAATATTTGAGCGAACAATTTTTTTTCAATAACTTCATCATCAGGCTCTCCATAATTATAATATTTTACAAAGGTCAAAATAAAGTATGTATTAAAATAAAGGAAGCTTTCTCTGTTTGATATCAATTTCCAAAATATCTACCTCAAGAAGATAAACTACGGTTACTCTACATAGCCGAAGCCATCTGGATCGACTCCAGAAAACCAAACTTATGTATACAGAAAAAGTATAGCCAGCCTCTATATTTACCTTAACCCACAACTGGATCACCGGATACCTAAACTGAATATTATAAACATCTTACCCCCTCTTTTTTTATTACCTCTATCTTAATCTTCACATCCATCATTCCCAATTCGTTTATCGTAATTACCTTGATAACACCCCCCTTATTACATATTATATTCACACCAATGGAGCTAATCCGTGTCGGGTAGAAACAGGTGTCTACCTCAGTACAACGGAAGACGGTCGCGCAATTTCGTGGATTGGTTGAGGTTAGACATCAACAACATTGGATGCCGGCTCAGTGGTCTAGTTGGTTGAGCGCCTGGCACGAGACTGATAGGTCATGGGTTCAGATCTCGCGATGTGCGGAATGGTGAATGCGTATTGCTGAGGAGTCTCATACTAGGACGAAACGGCCGTCCAGTGCTTCCAGGTTTTCCATGGTGTTCTAGCTTCAATTGACTCATGATTTCAACTATTCTTTCTTTTTAATAATAACAAATTGATTGAAGAAATAAATACGTGTAAGTTAACTATTACACTCAATCATCTGAAATTTATACTGATAACTGTTAGATAATCTCCTCTTGCATAGTGTATCTCTATTAAGAGGAAAAAAAGATATATAATTACATTCTGCCTTGTAATTAAGGAATGAAAATAATTCCATTTTATATTTCAGTCAGATATCAAATGAAATATTTTAAAAAGTATTCTTCATTAAATAGGTGTACGTACCTGCTTCCGATAAGCATAGAGTTTCTCAAAAACTGTCGTAACTGGAGTAGATATAAGTGACTGGTAAACAAAAGAGATCATTTTAAAGCTTATTGTATTAACATCTTTTTTTTTGTAGGAAAAGAAAAGAAAACGGGCTAACAACAAAGCAACATACTTTTCTACATATATACATTTTGAATGCCCTGGTACGACCGAGAGTGGGGAGAGTCCGCTCTCCCTCTCGAAATGCCCTCACATGGCCACGCGTATATAGCCTCTGACAGGGAAGTCCTACTCACTGCCTTCTCGTGGCGGGAGTGTTGTTTACAAAAATGAGAGGACGAAAAGCGAATGTCCAGCGCTTTAACCGGATTCCAAACCAATGGTGCACATGGGCTCCAGTATCCTGCGGGAACAAATGGCGTATGAACCAATTGTTGGTCACCGGCTACCATGGGACTGCATCTCCTTACGATCCTCCACTGCCTTGTGGGTTAAACCTTTAGGTCAAAGGCTCGGGGTGTGGCCCCCTAAGATAACCACCTGCTTCGGTCTGGGCACTCGGGCAGTATCGCAGCCCACACGCAAATGATGAACTCTTTATATCTATGGAAACTACTTTCCTCGCTTCGAATAACAATCAAATGATTCAAATTATTATTATTATTATTATTATTATTATTATTATTATTTCCACATTATTCACCCTCTTTTATACTTATACAGCGGCTCGTCTTTGGTGGAAATTCGACTGTATCTAAACGTTCTCGAGTCACTGTCCGGTTGAAAATTGTATGTTACCACCGAATACGAGACTGAAGCAGTTTTTCTGAAACCACGTGCACCATTCAAACTGGCTGCCTTCAACGTTCGCACATTTATGCAGGTCGGACAACAGATAGGGCTGGCTATGTCTTTGGAAAGTCTTAATATCGATGTTTGTTGTCTATCCGAGACCCGTATTCAAGACTCTGGCGAAGTACTACAAATTCGATCTCCATCTGTCGCTTCGAAAAGCTTGTTTTACGTGCGCTTATCCGGGGACCCTGTGGCATCTTCGTCTGGTCTTGCTGGCGTTGGTGTCGCACTAAGCGCTAGAGCTGAGGCAGCACTAGTCGATTGGATCCCCATTAACAGTCGGTTATGTGCTGTTAGATTAGAAAGTTCCATCAAAGTGAGAAGAAATCGGCGTGAGAAACGATGTCTTTTCGTCATCTCCGCCTATGCCCCGACAGATTGCAGCCCGGATGCAATCAAGGATGAGTTTTACCACCAGTTATCTGTTCTTCTCCAGAAAGTGCGTTCGACAGATATTGTAGTACTAGCCGGAGACTTGAATGCTCAGGTCGGGCGTCTAGGCACAGAAGAGAGTCGTTTAGGTGGCCGATGGGGACTCGTTGGTCGCAGGTCAGATAACGGGGACCGTCTACTGCAACTTTGCACAGACCACAACCTGTTTCTGGCTAGCACTAACTTTCGGCACAGTCATCGCCGATGTGCCACCTGGCGTCCTCCCTCTGCATCTCAAGCCTGGACTCAGATTGATCACATCGCGATCAGCTACCGCTGGCGTGGTTGTGTACAAGACTGCCGCTCCTTTTGGAGTACCTATCTGGACTCTGACCATGCCTTGGTCTGCGCCAATCTTGCCTTACTTTTCAGTGGACAACGAAGTGACCGCCACCAACGGATTGATGTTAGCAAGCTGGTTGCAACTTCTGTTGCAAGTAAGTATCGAACCGAGCTAGCCTCTAGGCTAGCTACCACTCCACCGAAAAGTATAGATGAGCATTGGTTGCAATTGCATGACGCCATGAAAATGGCGGGAACAGTCAGTTGTGGGTTTGCGAAACGTCCCGCTTTAAGCACTGGGTTTCTTCTGGTTCCTTACAACTCATTGAAGCCCGTCGGTCTACTCCGGGTGACCGTGAGTTTGACCATAAACGAAGGATGTTACGTAAGGAAATTGGGCAAAGCTTGCGTAAGGACCGAGAAGCCTGGTGGTCGATGCGTGCTAATGAGCTGGAAGCAGCAGCTGCATCTGGTAACTACCGGAAGCTCTTCCAGCTCATCCGAGCCACTGGCAGCAAGAAGTCTGGTGTGAGTGAAACAATCTGCGAGGATGATGGGATGCCAATCACTAACATCCATCGACGTCTTGGACGATGGGCAGAATTTTTCGAAGGGCAGTTCAACTGGCCTGCTGCTCCGGCAACATCGGTCAGACTGTCCTGCCCTCCATGGCCGGTGACGACTGATCCACCAAATGAGGAGGAAGTCCGCAAGGAACTCCAACTCTTGAAGCGTTACAAATCACCTGGCCCAGATGACTTACCTCCGGCTCTTTTTAAAGATGGTGGTGACTTTTTGACTAAGGAATTGACGACGTTGTTTACAAAGGTTTGGGAACTAGAGAGTGTACCAACGTCATGGAATGAGTCGATAGTTGTCCCTATCTTTAAAAAGGGTTCACGTCGTTCCTGTAACAACTATCGGGGGATAAGTCTACTTCCGATTGCGTCCAAGCTATTGGCTTCCGTCATACTTCGTAGGTTGTTCAAAACCCGAGAAAGATTGACTCGCGAGGAGCAGGCTGGGTTTCGTTCTGGTCGAGGATGTATTGATCATATCTTCACCCTCCGCCAAATGTTAGAACACCGCCATACTTATCAAAGGCCAACAATCGTAGTGTTTCTTGACATCAGGGCTGCCTTCGATTCGTTGGACAGGACTGTTCTCTGGGATTGTCTATTGAAGAAGGGTGTGCCTGAGAAGTTTATTAACATCCTAAAAGCCCTATATAAAAACACCTCAGGCAGAGTGAGGGCATACAACCACCTCTCTCCATTGTTCCATTCGAGCAGTGGGGTTAGGCAGGGTTGCCCAATCTCACCATTCCTCTTCAACTTTGCCATCGATGACATTCTGGAAACAGCTCTGATGAATGTAAGTAATGGTGGTGTGGATCTGTTGCCTGGAGAAAGACTTCTCGACCTTGAGTATGCGGACGATATTGTCTTACTGTGCGATAATGCCCAAGGCATGCAATCCGCACTTAATCAGTTGGCAATCAGTGTCCGTAGGTATGGTATGTGCTTTGCACCTTCGAAGTGCAAAGTACTTCTACAAGACTGGCAGGATTCCAATCCTGTACTCACCCTGGATGGTGAGCAGATAGACGTAGTCGAGAAGTTCGTGTATCTGGGTAGCTGCATAAGTGCTGGTGGGGGTGTGAGTGATGAGATCAATGCACGTATAGTGAAAGCCAGAGCGGCTTATGCCAATCTGGGCCATCTTTGGCGCCTTCGTGATGTTAGTCTCGTTGTAAAAGGTTGGATCTACAACTTCGGTGGCTTGGACATGTTCTCCGAATGTCGTCCCAGAGAATTCCACGTCGTGCATTATTTGCCGACTCTGGACTGGTTGGAAGAAGCGGAGAGGTGGTCAGTGCATGACATGGTGTCGTGGTATGAAAGAAATCTGCAATGGACTGGCTACTGTTGGTCCTTCACGACTCCCTGGTTGGGGTCCGAGAGATGGTGCTACACAGTGGCTAGAGACGTTATCAGATATGGCTCAGAATAGAAGCCAGTGGTGATCTTGCTGTAACCTTCGTTTACTTTCTTCATAAAAGTGGTTATGTCTCCCTTAACTGAAAGATTTCTTCTGATTGTACCTTTCCGTTCCCACATTATTACTATTATTATTACTACACTACCTTACACCAACCTCTTCGTTATTGTTCTCTTTTTGTTTTTTTCACGCTCCTTACTTTTTTTTTCTTTCTCTTCGAATTCTCGTTTGTGTGGCGCATATATATTGGCGCTCTCTTGTACCAATATTTATGTGTTCAAATAAATAAAGAAGAAAATAAGAATCTCATTATACTGCGTGCAGAAACTAAAGTCCCAAACCATGAAATCACTTTGAAAAAACAATTGACTATCAAGATCATATCGAATTATTATGTACATTACTGAAGAGTTCCACGCCAGGACGAAACAACAGTCTAATACTCTCTATTTTTCAGTGATTATCTAACTAATGTTGGTTCGTGATCACAATGAAAATTTATGAATACCTACTTATTCCCCAACTACATTATAATCGATAACAGAAGTAAATATATTCTTGGCTCTTACTTATCTTCGCCATAATTGTGAGTTTGGGGGAGGGGAATCATGAATAATACATTAAGTGTGAATAGGCATTCCTGATGGTTATGCTTACTGAGTCGTCTACTCGAATCACTCTGTAGTTTCACTGTAAGTAAGAGAGTCTCAATATAACATCTAAGTCAACTTGCTGAAAACTGATAAAAGTAACTGTGAACGCAACTAAGTGATCGAAACGACTCATATAATATAAACCGTTTGTGAGCTCACTTTTTTCTTAACCAAAAACAAACAACGAAATTTATTTCAACACACACATTTGGGAAATAACATCGAAGCACAAAATTTGAAACTTACACCACGTGTTTCATACATTTGCTTTGTTCTTTCTAGAATGCCCATATTTTTATGTTTAGATAGAGATTCGTTATGTTTCGAGTCGCCATTATTTAAAGTCCGTTTTTCTCTGAATACAACTTCAATTGGGGTTAAATTGTATTGATCATCAACTGTAACATAGGTTGTAGGTGTTTCACATATCGACGTACACATTGCGCCAAGAAGGAAACCTAGAATTTGTATCTATTAAGAAAATAAATAATGATTAGTAAAAGACACATTTTTAACATCGAAATTAGTTTGTTATTACTGGTGTTATGATCTCTCTTATTACGACCTAGCCACTCTTATCTCTTTGGACACTACTCGACAAGTTCAGAAAAAAGCACACAGCTGAACAGGAACGTAATTATATTCTAAATAAAACAGGTTGGATAAAAGTAGGAATGACAATAAGAAAAACGTTGTATATGTATAATTTTACACAAGAAGATTCCAGAGTATTCTCCAAGTATTCGCTAGAGCTGATTGAATAAGAAACGACTAATCAGTATGCCTCAACACGATCATATTGATATTTAAAAAATCAATAATTTGCATGAACTTCTATTATCACTCCGTCTAACAACTGTGTAAACTTCGATACCACGTTCCGCTACATACTACATACAATCTTGTGAGTAACACCCACTACATCTCCATTCAACAATACGAATATATAATAACTATAAATAACACTGAGGCACCCACTGACAGTGCACTCATGTAAATGCAGACTGATAAAAAAAACTTCAATTATGAAAATAAGAAATAACGAAAAACATAAAATTTTATCCAGAATCCAAAACATTAGGATCAATCAGTGTGAATAAATAATGAATATATAACTAATCTAATGGGAATAAGTTTACTTACATAAGATTTCGATGATCTATTTTTAGAAGGATTGATATATTTACTAGTAGAACATATAATTAATGTTGAACCACATATTGGTGGCAAATTATGCTTCATTGATAATTCTAAAGCGGTATTTAACGCATTTTTATATCGGTTCAAAGTGTTGTGATTGCAAAAGAGCCACCTTTTTACAACACAAATACATAAAATAAAAATATTATGTTTTAGGCAAATAATTCATACATTAAAATAACGATAATTTGGGTCGAATGATTGAAGACGTTGTTTAATATGATCCAAAATCAAGGAATGGAGTAAATTTATTCATATTTTGTTTATCCTTAGATTATGAATTTCAAAAATATTTCATACTTGCTATCACGTAAATTTATTCTTTATTCTCCAATCACATTTTTTAATGCTTAATCTTATCACTAACACTGATGTCAATGATACTACTGATACTGATACTTTAGTGTTCATCTTCATAATTTGATCTTGCTGTGTGCACATATATTGTGAAATATCTTAGACTGATTCATGTATATGCCAAGTTCAATATTGCTTAGAACTCACTGACTGATTAACTCTTAAATTAACACCATGAGTAGAGGATGATACCAAAAATCTTTTTTAAAACTTTTGTAAATTACAGTTTAAATACTGTTAGTTGCATTTTGTGCTGGATTTACTGTACTATAAATTATAATCATCATTACTAGTCAAGTGATTGACAATCACAAGAAAGAATACTATGGAATTTTTTGACTGTCAACTGAAACTCTATAAATAAATCGAAAGAAATAAAGCATTATGTTAGCGGGACATAAACTGGATTAAAGCATGCTCAATGCACGATTGCTTTAGTGCACTCTTATCCAGTCAGTACTAGTCGATACTTGGAGAATACTCTAGAATCTTCTCATGTAGAAACTATAAATATACTAACGTTTTCCCTATTGTGCTTCTTACTTGCTTCTTGCTTCCATCTAACCTTGTTATTTGGAATATAATCTCTTTCCTGTTCAACCGTGTTCTGATTTGGGGTCTTGTCGAGTGATTTGGTGTCCAAGAATACTAAACAATAGGAATAGCTGGGTTATAACCGTGAGAAAGAGATTATAACACATTAACAAATACAACAGATGGAAGGTTGAGAAGTGAACAAAATTTTTATATTAACAGATTCATTAGCAATGATCTTTCAATTAATGGACATGAGTTTAAAATGTTGACTGGAAACATTAAATACTAACATTTTACAGAAAGATTCAATATCCGATAATAGGCTTCCTTGAACTTCAAAACGATATCACATGAAAAGAGTTTTCTATAAAGCTAAGTTTTCTTATGTCTAGCCCACATTCCTGATCGACTTTTGATCAAGTTTAATTGATTCAATATAGCGATACACTGTGTCTAATGTTGACTATTCGGTGATGATCGACAGGAAGCCTCAAAATATAGTATTTATTTTTGGATACATCCAAAACCAAGTATTAGAGGAACATATGCTTCCTTCCAAGGTAATTTGATGGCTTTCTCTTTGATTGCTACACTGATCGAAGCAAATTTGAATCATATATGGAGTATCAATCATCTGGTATGTGTTGACTAGCACGGAAGATAGGTTAGTAGTTGACTAACTCTAATCATCTAACAGAATATTTTCAATGTTAATGTACTTTGGCTTACTAGAATGCACATATTACTTCAATAAATAAATACTTGTTATCTCAAAAAACATACAATACAGTGAAAATCGATGAGTACAATACCTTTTGTTAAAAGGCTGATTGAAACTTATAAAAACTTTTAATTAGAAGTACAACAAACAAGAGATTTCTTATCATAAAAAATATAAACTGAAATCTTACTTTCCGGTAAACAATCTCAAGTGTTTCGCTAACCATTCCGATTTTTTCAATACCCTAGGTGTTTTTTTCTTACGTTTCATTACTTGTATAACTGTGAGAACAGTAAAACAAAGGTTTTTTGAAATAAACAAGATTACAGTGAAGAAGAAGAATAACGGGAACCCATAGGGATTCCCGTTATGTTAAATTTCTTACTTCAATTCTATACAATGACTTTAATAACTGAATCACTGAACGACGAAAAAATTACAATATGATATGATTCAACAGTGTTTTCAAAATATCAGAATAATATATTGCACCGACTAGATAAAAGCAATGGACATGCATGCAAATACAGTCGTGTAGATACACTAAAGTTGATAAACATCCATATACCATGTACAGCACACATGGGAGACAGTCACAAAACAACACACAATGTAACTACATTTCACAAGCACACAAGCTTTATACATTTGGCTTTGAACCATACTTTAGTTGTATGATAGCCAGTAGTACTATCGCGGTGGTATACTGAAATAGGTTCGAGCTAGTGGCCAAGTAACTGTAAGCCGAATGGTTTAACCACTAAACCAATACGAATTGTTAATCAGCTGGCATGCTCTAACTTATACAGTGGATTTAATCAATTCAGTATAAGTAATATGATATTAATGTTAAAGACTACAATTGAATGTAATCGAGAAGCTTTAAAAGGATAATCACTTTTAATGATAATGTAACTTTTCACGGTGAATCCGATAAAACCTAAATTGATAAGGTTGAAAATTGTCAAAACACGTAGAACACTCATCTATTTCATGAGCTATCTAGTAATAAACATTCTAAACTACATTCGGTAAAATTAGGACGGAAAATAAGTGACGTACAAGGGATTTAGGACGCAATTACCAGCTTATTGCAATTCAAATACAAAAAGTCACATATGTACGTGTTCTGATATAACACAGTTGTTAAGTACGAGTTTATCTGCTTCCCTTGTTTGTTTAAACATTAGTGATGCCAGCTGTCTTTCAAAATTAAATTACGTTGGGTGGAGTCCGAACCAGTGACGGGATGTTTTAATCACGTAAATACAGCTATGCAATACGTAAATTAACTTAACTACCAGGTATTCGGGTATGGCCCACACTAAAAATGTGGAAGCTAATGATGTTACTATCAATGTAGCTGAAGCAGAGTGTGAACCTGGAATTTAGTGACTGAACGTTGAGCGCCTTATCCACTAAACTATCGCTTAACAACTAGATAACTTTAAAAACCCTCGAAAATAAATATTAGCAGTGGAATCCATGGCACATATTTCGTCCTCCTTGCGATTCGTTAGATGGATGTACCTGCATCCTCGAGTTGATGTTCACTACTGGGCTTGAACCCAGTACCATTCACTCCAAACGCTGTCGAGTTATCCACCTAGCTACTAAGTTCAGATAGCCACTAACTTGTGCAATGGGATCCAAATAACTAATAGAAATGAACTCGAAAGTAAAGTTTCAAAATATTTACCGATATTTGAGCATAATCATATACTCATTTAAAAAAGGTTGACTAAACTAGCTTTACACTCTGAAAAAAAAACATTAATCATTACTTACGTTCGACACGGTATACAGATTGTTGAAAAGTTAATCTGCGTTCACACTTTTCAAGAGTATCAAAAGCCGAGAAATAACGGAACGGAAACTGCTTCCCTTCTATAATAATACGCTGTAGGCATTTAAAAAACAACAGAAAATATACTAATTTTTGTTGGACTTAGTGACTATGATAAAAACTGAAATTATACATTATTCAACATAATTTGGTTTCTGATGAGAACAATGTAAAAACCAGAGACTTGATCACAGAAAACAAATGATTTGGTTCAAGAGTTCATTCTGTATCTACCTCTAAATCATAAGATTCGTATTGTTCCACATTCTTCAATTTTATTCTTCCCTCTCAAACTATCCATCTTTCGTTTTTAGATTTCTATATTCAAATGATAATTACTATTATATGCCAAACTTTGCTGATCATCTTGCTAACTTATTCCATCTGTCTCCTTGTCTTCATTTCGTTATGTGTAGTGTGACGACTTGTATCAATGTACACAATTGTACTAGATCCTATGCTGTTTACAATTAACCGACTGACAGAACCTAACCAACGTGATGACATTCATTAAATTTTCAGGATATTTTTTCAACTCCTCACCCAAAACGGTAAACAATTTTGTTCAAAAAGATGCATAAATGTTCAGTAAGCATTATTATTAGGGTGCTGCAATGCTATACTTGACAACAACAGAGCGGTGAATCAGTCAACTGAGCACTCTACTTTTAGTCACGAAGTCATTTTTCCGAACGCCAACCTACCAACTTCAATCTGAGCAAACGATTAATAATATCACTGGGTCACACTTGAAATCTAGTTCTAAATCGAGTGTACCAACCTGTACCTAGCTGATGAGCTAGTAATAACAATGACGTTAATAAAACACTCACTAATAACTTAATATTGTTTTAAAAGATAGAGATAGCTGGCCAACAGTCCTAAATAAAACTTTTTTGTTACAGTATGAAATTTACTGTTTTGAGATAAAATATACCCTCATATATAACAACTGACCAAGTACCAGATCAGTCAATTCATTCTGATTCTGTCTATGGTAAACAGACGCTTTTTATAGAATAATAACTGTAATGTTGCGTGATTAGAAAGAAACAATGCGAGAATCTGTTGTAAAACACAAGATTAAAATAATAAAATCACTTACAGGATCTGTAAGCCTCTTTAAGACTATCTCATGAAGACCATCTTGAATATCGGACATCAGAATATTGCGCAGATTTCTTAACATCGCCATATGTGGGACTTTGTTTAAAGCTATGATAGTTAATAAAAGTTAATTTATAAAATACCATGTATTTTAATATACAATCATACTGTGACGACGGACCACCGGTGAACTCGAGGAAGCTGTAAGAGGCTCATAAGGAGCCGAAGACGTTACATCCAATCACCTGTCGGAAGAATGTTCTAGAAGTGGGACCAATCGAGACTCTAGGTCGTTCGTACGTGTTTACCTGTCACCGAATCGATCAATAAACGCTGCTAATCAAAACCTGCAGTCACACCCGTCATAACACATACAGATACACCAAATGAAATAAATGGTCAACTCAAAAGTGGGAAGATTATAGGTTAAATTATTGTTAACACTATTTAAACTACAGCTAGTGTGAACCAGTTTTAAGACAAAGTCATACAGTACTTGATTTCATATCTTGATGATTGTGAAAAAAATGGACGAGACCTAAGAGGATCACACTATATATACACTCTGTCCGAATACTTATATTGTGGTAGTTTGAACCGTTAATCACATACATAGATGAAGTTTATTCATGACTAATTCTTATCAGGTAATCAGAAAGCATTTATTAGCTGAAGCCACAAGGCAGCTTTAGTTTTTATGCAGAGAAATGACTAGAATACAACAGCTTGCCCCCATTTTACTTAATGACTAGGACATAACCATTGAACTGAGATGTTAAAGCATCACAGGTATTTAATTATTAATAGTGTTAGAAAGTCAATAACATTTGATGCAACTAGGATTTGAACACAACTGGAATTAAATGTAAAGTTAGGGAGGAAAAGCATACATTAGTCAATGAACGACTCGAGCTAAATTAAAATGTTATCACAACTAAATCATATTATATGTGACAATGCAAAATATAATGGAGGAATTTCGATGTTTTCATGCTTCAGTTTATACAAATAAATAGTATCTACAGACCACATGCCGAAAGCGTACCTTAAATTTAAGTTGATAGAAGTGTACTTGAAATATGATTCACATTATATTTATTACTATTGTTCAGATGCCAACGATTTAACAACAAAAATGCGTAGAATGGGAAACATATTAGTAGCATGATTATTTAGAATACTTATTAGCGAATTTTTCACTCATAAAAGACTAAACTGAGTAACTCTGCAATTGTGTATTACATCAATCAGTATGTAATGATTAGATAAATGCTTTTTTCTGAATGTAACAACACTACTGATAAAAACCAAGACCATTTTTAAGTTTTTCTTTATTATGTTTTTCCCTAAAGTGCTAAAAATATTCAACATACTACGGAACTTACTTATAAGTTTTGACCAAGAATCTGAATTGTTTCCATTGACTGATAATTCTGTTTCCCATGTAACAGGAATAGGAAACTTCATACATGTACCTGCTTTAGATGAATCCCAATCTCCTTCCAGTCCCATACGAATAAAATCAGTACTATCCGATGGGTAAGGTTTTCCCAGAACGCACATAACGTTGAACTTGGGCCTTGATATATGCAATCTACGAATAAGCTCCTTTATTGTAAAATATATACGAGGTGAGTGTGCCAAGCTATATATAATGGCATCGATATCCGTATTGACTACTACACCACTTTGGCTTCTTTTCAGAGCCTAAGGAAGATCACAAACCAATAAACAACGAATTACCTTCGATTTCTTTGAACGATTAGCTCTTGCTCTGGGTTTGGAATGTTTAGCTGTTAAAGTGAATTTAGCAAATAGAAACTCATCTTACCAAGTTGGTACTGATCAAATTCAAGGAACTTTGATGTCATACTATTCCGTAAGACTTTTGGCATACCTTTCAAACTTGGATTGCCACTTATCATCTTTAAAGAGATTATTACATTTTTCTAACTTACTGCATAGTATTCGGCAACCTCTATCCAGTCTGACGGTGTGCGAATACAAGAAGAAAAGTACTTCTTAATAAAAGATCGAGACTGCTCATTACAGCTAGCAACAGCTATTAATATATTGGTTGTTGTACGTATATTCAACTCTCTACGGCAATACAAAGCTGCCTAAAATCTAACGTTTCTTAAAAATGTATAAAGTACTTTAAGTATAAATTCTGGATCTTTATCAATACAAGAGTGAATTGATTGTCCCAAAACAATTTTCTTTTCTTTAGATGGACTGCCATCGACTATAGAGGAGGATATGCAGCTAATTAACTCTAGCTGTGAGTTTGAATACATTAAATAATGTATAATCACATACTTTCAGCTGTTTGTAGGTATCTCTGCGTTCGTATGTCAGTAAATTACCAAATGTATTAGGAATAGAATTGCTTTTCATAGAATCATCAACCGTACATTCTAGTATATTTTGAAAACTAGTATCTGAAATTTTGATTATAGCGTCGTTTAACCAGTCGATAGGAGTTGATTTAAGTGAACTTGGAACACTTGTTCTTCTCTCCACATGATGCTTATCATTAGGTCTGACTGTTACTTCGTGATCACAATGTAGGACTGAACCTGTGTATGATAGACTGATGGATGATTTTAATGATTTGTTATTTAATGAGAGCGAAGAAAGTGTATTGGAAGCTGATGAAGTTTTAGTGAAAGGTTCATCTAAAAGTTTGTTTTTCACTAAATTCTTTCCTTCCAAATATACAGGTGATAACAATGAAGAAGGCCCTTTAAGATGTCCAGATTCATGATCCATTTTTATAAATTACGAGTGCATTGGATTGTAATATAATCTTTTCAGGGAACTAATTAATATTAACTGAAAATGATGGAAACCACAGAAATTTACAGGGACCCAGTAAGGCAGATTCTGAAAACAATAAAGAGAGTAAAATTGACGAAAACATAGTATATATTCAATAAACAAGCCCTAAGAAAATACGCTTTCGAAACCTCCACATGCTGATCTGGATATTTTCACCTAAACCACCGATAAAAATCCTAAAAAGAGAAAACCGAGAATTCCCTTATTGGTTGACGGTATACTACAACCTTTGATCAGTTTCCTTTTTAGGAAGTATCCATTCGTGAAAATTTTATAGAAACAAGCAAAATATACTTTGGATGTTTGTATGAAATATAAATATTTTAAATGCAAGGTAGTGTGACTACAACACTCATCATACCACTAAACATTGATCATAAGTATAGATACCATTAATTACTTTGACTCCGTCGTTCCCTCAGTAGTTATACTCGTTTACACAGAAACGTCAGAAATGAAATCTATTTATGCATTCATAAGGTCCGCCAGCTGGCACTGACTTGCGAGGTTAACGTAACTGATAATTAATCATTCATAAAAAAAAATGAAGGGTAAGACAAGTTAGTTGAGGACAGAAATAGTCAGTATTCAACTCTGAATGCATTTAAAAACATTAACAGCAATTCCTGAAGCTACAAGTTTGAAAATGCAGCACTGAAAACAAATTCAGTGGGTTTTAACCATAAAACTATCAGTCAGGCCATCAAGCCTCCTGTCTTTTTGAAACTGAAACTGTTGAGTAAAGTGAATACATGCAGTTTTATGAACACTTAAGCGCCTTTTAAGACAGTTAATACCGCACTAAAGTGCAACTGAAGTGAAAGAGGAAAACACGATTTGAGATATTAATTACTCCTAACGTGGATAATGATGAAATTACTATCGTTATCATTGATGGTAAACCTCTTCCATGCGTTCAAGAACATAAAGACTTAGGAGTTATAATAAGTCATGACTTGAAAACAACTACGCATTGCAACGTAGCTACTCCCAAAGGTTTTCGTGAGTGGTGATCACTTCGTCGAGCATTCAAATGCTTTGACGAGGAAATGTTCCGAATTGGCAAGACTCTAATTTATGGATGACCTTTGAACGAATCTTAAGTAACCTTAAGAAATATTAGCCAATCAGCAAATAGTCAGTATAGAGTAAAAATGTGTTATACAAAACCAAGAAAATAAAGTGAATACACTTCTTATACATGGTTTAAAAACTTTGCAAGGTTAGAAAGAGGTTCAGAGTTTCTAAAACCGTAATGCATGAAGTAGAGGAAATCATCCATATGGCTACAGAATAGTCGGCCTCTGGAGTCATGATAAAGTCTCAAAAGCTCTGGTGCTTTTATCATCCAGTTTGCGATAATTTTCGTAATTTGCCTTAGTTAGGAATTAAATATGGGGTTTTCATCACGAGCTGATATCAGCTATAATGCCAGAAATTTATTTAGACAAATACATGAAAAACTCTCGCGTTGAAATCCGAGATTGATTACCTTACACCTGATTGATTCATCCACAAATTACAGACTCGCCGTTATATTTGTCATAGCCTCTCAATTATCACGTTTTGTACAAAATTCCCTGTGAATCGATCGTACGTTAGCATTAAGCACTGAAGTTGACACCGTAACCTTGAAATCTCTAACACGGTTCTGATTGACCGATCCATAAATTAGTCTTGCCGCATTTCGTATCTTGATTATGATTTCAGCGCTAATATGTCTTATATCTTTGCTTTCTTCAGCACTAATGATCTCCGAGGTCATAGCTAGAAGGTAAACAAACTGCGACCTAATAAACTTAAAGTGGGGTCCCGTTTTTCTCATCGAGTAGTCAGTGGCTGGAACGCTTAAACAGAACAGGTGGTATCAGCCCCATCAGCGAACATTTTCAAGGGGAAACTGAACCTTCACTGGAAGGCAATCTGTCAGGATTAACACAGGTTGACTAACCGGCGAGACTCTAATTTAGGGACGAGCCAATCAGAAGCGTTTGAGCAGTTTCAAGGTCACGGAGCCAAGTTCAACACGCGCTGCTAACATACGATCGGTTCACAGCGGATTTTAGAGAGTAGGTGATTAATGAGAGGTTACAACAGATAGGACGGCGAAACTCTATTTTAGGGACGAGCCAATGAGAAGCGTTTGAGCAATTTCAATTATTAGCCAATCAGAAGACAGTATAAAGTAAAAATATATTACAAGAAAGTAATGAATTACAGTGGATATTCTTCTTTTACATGATTTAAAAACCTGTTGAGGTTTGATAAAGACTCAGAAGTTCTGAATTCATAATGCATATTGTATAGAAACTCGTCCATAGGGTTAGGGTTTGGGGTTAAAATTAGGGTTAAGGGTTAGGTTAAGGTTAGGGTTAGATTAGGATTTAGGGTTAGGTTAAGGTTAGGGTTAGATTAGGGTTTAGGGTTAGGTTAAGGTTAGGGTTAGGTTAGGGTTTAGGGTTAGGTTAAGGTTAGGGTTAGGTTAGGATTAGGGTGCTAACATGCGATCGGTTTACATCGGATTTTAGAGATGTGTCTACTTACAGGCTACAACCCTAACCACTAACCCTATGGACGAGTTTCTATACAATATGCATTATGAATCCAGAGCCTCTGAACCTTTGTCAAACCTTAACAAGTTTTTAAATCATGTAGAAGAAGAATATCCACTGTAATTCATTACTTACAATATATTCTCACTTTATACTAACTGTCTTCTGATTGGCTAATAATTGTCAAGGTCACTTAAAATTCGTTCAAAGGTCGTCCTTAAATTAGAGTCTCGCCGACTAACCTACTATCCTTATTACTGGATAGTCTTCTTTATCTAAGTTATCAAAAATAGTTTCGAATTACCAGTCGTGGAAAAATGCAACAAAGAGCGAGGCAACAATTATTACTATTAAAAACAAACTGAATCTCTGGAGTTCATAAGCTAATTTAAAAAGCTTTGAGATTAATCAGCTGATGTACTTTTATTGCCTGCATTACCAGTTCTACAAACAATTGTGGGCATGTGCGTGACGTACCACAATTAGTTCTGCATGATCACAAGTCTGGCTTAGTGAAGGTTAAACACCAGTATTATTAGAAAGTAAACGAATATAGATAACTCTGCGAGAAGCAGTCGGGAACCAAAACAAGCACCTCGATCAACCTTCAAAACGAGTGATTAGAACAAATCAAACATTGAACTTCAAAGTTTGGTGGACGGAGTTGGTGAACTTCAATTTCTCAAGATTTGTACCACAGTAGTAGTATAAGAGCGGGTTATTCAGTATCACTCATCTTTGTAACGACCTTGTATAAATCGATTGAATAATTCGAGGTGATCTTATCCGCAACGCAACCATGTAAACTTAATGTATCGCACACTGTCATTTGTGCGTTCAAGTAACCACAGATCTTGTCATTTCATAAAGTATTTTTAATTAAGTAACTAGATTATGTAGCTAATTCTGCTCTGTTTTTAATTTTTATTCGCCACTTCCGACTGTATTACACTGTACGTCCATTGCACGCTGGGATGATATCTCAAGTCATAGTGAGTTTATTCATATAGCTGATTGTTTCCAGATAGACTGTCAGTGCATGATTTTACTGAAGAAAGGTGTGTTGTACTGTAAACTGTGTTTCTATAAACAACTTCCTGTTGTCTTCAGTATGAATTCATGCTGAATACTGCTGTAGCGTGGCGTCGAGTTGAGGTTAACTATGAACACCGCTACAAATAAACACGTGCCAAATAGATCAGAAGGCGAAGGTTGAACGTTACCAAATAAATCCATAAAATCTCCGAGAAGCCAAATATCAGAAGACAGTTAATGGACCAAGTCGAGATGTATTCGCTGGCGATCTCGTGGCATCGAAAGGATACCGAGATCGTGCCAGGATACAACCTTGGTTACAGAAGGTAACCGAATTCGCGCGAAGTTACAATCAAAGTGTAAGTAAAGAATGGAAGCACAAAATAGCTGTCATTAGCACAGTCAAACAAAAGCACATTAAAACAAACACTGGTACAGTTGGTTATAATAATAATTGTTTTTATTAAACCAGTCGTGTTCTCGTGATAAATGTGAGTCACTACAGGAGCCCCCCGCTAGAAAGGGTTTACACTTTCGATAAATAGCGGTTTGAATCGTGGGACTGATCGGCTGACGAGCGATTGTAGGACGGAAGAATTGGCGAACAGGAAAGCGATCGTTGATCGTCGAGTTGCCAACGAAGGTCGTTTTCGGAGAACGGTACCAGGAGCGATGTGCTGTATTTGTTGCTTGAGTTGGCATGCTACACGAGAGTGGTTTGTATCCAGAATCTGAAGAGGGCGTTCGTAGGGAATGCGGACCAGAAACGCTGCAGACGTAGGACGAAACCACGTTGAGCCGATGAACCAGAAGCGACCATAACGACCAAGTTCGAGACCAAGCGTATGCCAAGCATTCGAAACCAAATATCGACTGAGTACGTTGACAAGAGCATGGGTGGCCAGTCCAGCTTTCGCCAAAGTTGACTGAAGTCGACGGAACCAAACGGAGATGGTCGAAGGCGTGGGCTCAGGAAACAAAAAGAAAATCAAAAAAGAGAAGAGTGTAGCATAGGAATAATCCTACACCGTATCGGTTGTTAACTGTGCGGCTAGTCGCGGAAGCGTACGGGTAACCGTACTCGGCGACCGGAACGTGAGACGGTAGTCTCGTTCGCGTCGCGTGAGCCTGCAATCTCATCCGAAGTCAAGGGCGGCGTGGTCTGCTGATCTGGACGTGAGACTGTCGTCTCGTCCGTAGACGGTGCAGATGACGCGTGCTGTTGACTGGGACGTGAGAATGAGGTCTCAGATGTATCTAGCGTGGGACCTGAAGAAGATTTGAGGATCCCGCTAGGTTTGATAGGTCTAGCATTGAATCTCAGGTTATCAGATAGGGCACTGT